GGCAAAGTACTACTGGTTTTTTTTAAATCTCAGTAGTAGCACGAAGTCTGGAAATGTGCCCGGTATATGGCAACATGAGACTCATAACGTAAATGGTGAAAAGTGGGTGTTATTTCTGTTTGCACCTCTGCCTACCGCTTCGGGGATAAAAGGCGTGATGTTATGCTATGTTATGGGACGTTGCAAATGGTTTACTGATAGAAGAGTAGAATATAATTTGTAACCACCCCTACTCTTCCCACGAGTATCAGAGAACCGACTAATAATTGAACAGCAAGCAGCTCTTGATCAGCCTGGACCTATAAAAGTGGGATGTGCAATCCTTCTGCCAACTATGGAGATGATTGCAACTGGTCAAAACATTTGTATGAGACTTATTTACCACCAGGTGATCTGAATGTTCATTGGCCTCGTATCCCATAAAACTCAAACCCTGCTGAGGGCGCTGTGCCTTGTTTCTATTATCAAATGTTATATAAAATAAATAAATAAAAAATAAAAAAGCCTTTATTTCCCAGTACCATAAATAATTACATAACTTTTTTTTTTTTTTTTTTTCAAATAAGTATTACACTTGGGTGTGGGTCCCTCCTCGGGTGAAGGCCTCCTCCAGTTGTTTCCAATTTTCTCTGTCTTTAGCCATGGTTTGCCAGTCGTCTCCTGCAATTTCCCTTAGGTCATCAGCCCATCGTCTTTTTGGTTTGCCTACTTTTCTTTTACCTGTAGGCCCTCTCCACTTTGTGGTTTTGATTGTCCATCTGTCGTCCTTATACCGTGCTACATGTCCAGCCCATTGCCATTTCAGTTTTAGAGCTTGGTTCAGGGCATCGGTTACTTTTGTTCTTTGTCTTATTTCCTCGCTTCTGACTTTGTATATTTTTCTTATGTTTAACATACTTCTCTCCATAGCCCTTTGTGTAGTTAGGATCTTTTGTTTAGCTTTTGCCGTAAATACCCAAGTTTGGCAGCCGTACAGCAGGCAGGGCAGTATACAAGTATCTATAACTGTTTTCTTCATGCATATTGTGTAGTCTCCTTTTAAGATTTCTTTGAGAGCCCAAAACTTCTTCCATGTTATATTGGCTCTCCTCTCAACTTCGTCTTCGTTGTTTGTTTTATTAAACGATACTTGTTTACCCAAATAAATGTAGTTGTCGACATATTCTATTGTATTTTCTCTTATGATGATAGGCTTTTTCACGCTGTTTGTCATTATTTTGGTTTTACTAGCATTCATTTCCAAGCCCACTTCGTAACTTGCTTCGTCAAGTGAGCATAGCATTTCTTGAAGGTCTTTTCGCGATGCTGACATTATAACTATGTCATCTGCAAATCTTAAATGATTTAAATAGCGGTTGTTAATGTTAATACCTTTTGATTTCCAATCTAACTTCTGAAATATGTTTTCCAAAACAGCAATAAATAATTTGGGCGACAATGGATCACCTTGTCTAACTCCCCTCTCAATTTTTATTGTTTCCCCTCTTGACTCCAGTTTGACTTTGCTTGTGCTATTGTTATATATGTTTTTTAGAATATTGATATATTTTGCATTAATGTCTAAACTTCTTAGTGCGTTCCATATAGAGCTATGGCTGATGCTGTCGAATGCTTTTTTGTAGTCAATAAAACCAAGGTATAGCGGCTTGTTAAATTCTTTATATTTTTCTATGACTTGTTCCAGTGCCTGTAAGTGATCTAGTGTACTAAAGCCAGAGCGGAATCCTGCTTGTTCTATGGGTTGAGCATAATCAATGTCTTGTGCTATGCGTTTTAGAAGTAGCGATGAGAAGATCTTGTACATATTTGCTAGTAAGCTGATTGGTCTATAGTTGTTGATATCTAGTGGGTTACCTTTTTTGTGTAATAGTACAATATCAGATGTACACCACTGAATTGGTACTATTTCAGTTTCTAGGATCAGGTTGAATAGTATTGTAAGGGGTCCCAGTAGAATAGGTGCACCTAATTTCAAGGCCTCGTTGGTTATCCCTTCAGGACCTGGGCTTTTGTCTGATTTTAATTGTTTTAGATGAATGTACACTTCCACCTCCTCTATAGGTGAGGCCGTTCGAGTGTTACTAGCTTGGTTTGGGTGTGGGTCCTCTTGTGGTGTTATTTTCCCGACGTTTATATAATTCCTGATAAAAAACAGTTGCTTCGTGTAAGATAGACTGCCTCGTACTAGTTTCGCCGTTTCGACCTTCCAGTGTTTGTATCCATCTTTTACTTAAATTTAATTCTTTATGAGCCCTTTTCGTGCTTCTAAATTTGTTTAAGTTTTCTATAATTATTTTTCGTCTGTTTTCGCTGTAGTCCCTTCTGATCGCTTTGCTGGTTTCTTTGTATAGATTACTCAGTTCGTTTCTTGCATTTAAGTCTTTATTTTTCTTTAGTATTAGTTCACTTCGTTTCGCTATTAAATTTATTGTTTCTTTACTTAAAATATTGTGCTTTTTCTTTTTTTTGTGACATTCTGTCTGGCTGAGGCTATGCACTATCGCTTTTTCTAGTTCGTCATAGTAACATTGCACGCTTGTGATGTCCTGCAGGTTGTTTTCGATGTACGATTTTAGGTTATTTTTGTAATAAGTTATTTCGTCGTCGGTCTTAGGGATTTTGGGTAGTGGTTTGAAGTTCTTCCTGCTCTTTTTTTGCTGTGCCAAGTTGAGAGTTGCTCTTATAAGTCTGTGATCTGTTCCGAATTTTACATTTTTGAGAACTTCAAAGTTCTGAACTAGTTTAGGGATATTCGCTATAATGTAGTCGATTTCGTTTTTGACGTTACCATCTGGTGACTTCCAAGTCCATCTACCACTGGGTTTCATATCAAATGTTATAAAGACTACAAATTCACACCAACAATGACGAATGTGTACTGAACAGTCATTTAACACGGTATCAAGGTAAATGTGTTACATTGAATGCCAAAAATGTCGTATAAGCTGCTACAAATGGGCTATCTAGAGAGCTATAATGTCTCACTGTAGCCCTACACTGCAGAATTGTGTAATTTATTGCACCTGTATGGAAGGTAGCCAAGGAAATTATTAGTTTTCCAGCACTATTTTGTGTTTTGTAGTTTCAATTTTGAATAATATTGAATTGTAATTGATGTGGTAAGTAAGTAAAAAAAGGGAGTAAAAAAAAAGATAATAGATGTTGTTAGATATGTAGGTACTCAAACTCATCATTTGTATTTTTTCACACAAACTGCGACTTAGGCAAATAATATGTTATTGTTGAACTTTAACACATTAGTTAATTATGAGATGGTACGGAGTTCACCCATCGTCACCTGGTAACCTAGTACGAAAAACAAATGACACGCCAATATCATCAAAACAAAAATGACAAGCGTAGAAATGTACCATGTTCTCTTTCTTAATCCAAGTTATGGCCGCCTCTAGAACATGCAAAAAAACAAATGACACGTCAATGACGTCAGACACAAAATGACAAGGGCAGGAATATATTGTGTTCTCTTTTTAAATCCAAATTATTGCCGCCTTTTTAATATTGGGAAATAAAAACAAATGACACGTCAGTGACGTCAGACCAAAAATGACAAGGGCAGAATGTTCTCTTTCTAAATTCAAATTATTGTTGCCTTTTGTTTAATGTAAATTATCTTGTGTTTCATATTTGTAATTAAAAAAATGCGTTTTTGCAATATAAACTGCTTTGGGTTAGGGTTATTAGTGGCATCACATGTAGCGTTGTTCTAGCCCATCAGTATATTTTTTTTTGTGACTGTAGGACATCATAAAACACAATCATAATTTAAAATTAAGTACCTAATTATCGAAATGCTTAAAATTGGAGATTTTTTTATTATAGTGTTTATTATAAAGACAATTTCGATGAAATTTAAACGTTTCTAATAGCAAAAGTAATGCTCTTAAGAACCAGAAATGTGGCATGCTCATTGAGATGTTTATCGAAAATTCCCAAAGAAATACAAAAACGATTATTGTGAGCGAATAGAGTTTCGAATACAAACTAGTATTAATATTGTGGTGACGCATGCCACATGTCAACGGATGACGTCACAAGAATCCTGCATCGCACATGCAAAGTTTACAAGCGAATAAACACGGATAGAAAATCCCAACGAACAACTGTTGGGCAGAAAGCCCGCCAGGCACGATCACCTCGCCTGGTCAGAGGATCCTCTTTTTCCGATCTTAGGGAACTATACTCTCTGTTCTCTAAAATATAAACACCCTAAAAGACATACTACAAATTCCTTTTTGAATACTAATTTCAAATAGATGCCTTGAAAATAGGTCAAGGGAAACTTCAATACTGGCAAGTTTCAGTTTGAGTATTTCTGAAGCGAAATATAAAGGCTTAAAAGACATTCATAGAAAATACTTAGGTATTGAAACTTCTACCGTTCTAGTCGAACTCTCTTCCTTTGGACAACCATTTGAGAATGTTTTACTTTTTTCGTTTTTTGATACAAACTGACTGCACCTGAATAGTTACTCGGTTATCTCATGGTACCTTTATAATAAAGATTTAAGTATTTATTCAAAAGGTTTTAAATACTTAAACAATGAATTTCGTTACAGTTTATGATTTAAACTGTCAAACACCGAGCGGTCACCGATGACCGCAACCTATTGTTCTTTAAATCTGTCTATAATACGAAGTACAAGTCTATAAATACGGTACTCGACGAGTTAATAGCCTTTCAAAATTATTATTCTTATCCTTTCTGGGATCACTGTCAAGCTCCTGTTGTCAGTATTATGTGGATTAGGGCTCACTTCTGTCTTTTAAATTACGAGTTGTGGGGCGATAAAAATTCATGGTCAGTGAAAATTCATTCATATAAAGGGACGTGGATGCCTTTCACACGCTAGTCGAAAACTCTCACCAAAATGGACCAAAAGAGGGTGTTGTATGTCCTATCAGTACAATGTGACTTTCAATAGTTGAATTGGTATCTTGGAAATATTTTTCTAAGATATATGGAATTGAATGCTTTACAGGAAGCATTCTGCGGCGGCACCCTCGTCTCACTCCGTTGGGTTGTGACGGCGGCACATTGCGTGCGCAAACGCTTGTACGTGCGGTTGGGCGAGCACGACCTGCTACTCAGGAACCGCGGCGAGGTGGAGATGAAGGTCACGGAAGCCGTCATACATCCTCGCTATGACCCTGACACGGTCGTCAACGATGTCGCTATGTTACGGTATGTATGACATATCATAGTTTACGATCTATTGTGTCACTCTTATCATGTGCCGTCAGATGGCTGCGAAGCTTACTATTGTTACAGCGTGAAATATGTGTTGGATATTTTATTTTGGTAATTTATTTATTTATTTAATAATTTATGTACACACAGACAGCACAGAGGATAACACATATATAAAATAAGAGTACAAAGGTGCTTCTTATTCCTGTTGGAATTTCTTCCAGTAGACCTGAGACAGGAAATCTAATTAAAACAAAAGACACAGTGTGTAACAGAAATATAAGAAATATGTTTAAAAAGACTAAAGCTAAATAATAACTAAATAAATATAGGTAGTATAAATAAATATAGTATAAATATAAATACTTAATATATAATAATAACAATAAATAAAATACACACATAGAAATAAAAAAAAAAAGTATCAGTACTCATGTAGAAAGGTAATGGTCCTTAATTAGTTTTTTAAAGAGAGCGATAGATTTAGCGTCTCGAATGTTAGGCGGCAGATAATTCCACAGTCTCACAGCATAAACGGTGAAGGAATAGGAGAAGAAGTCGGTATTATGAGGCACAATTTTAAGATTGGACTTAAGATGAGAACGGGTAAGGACTTCAGGAGGACGGACCAAGGAGAAACGGTCACGGAGGTACGCAGGATAAGTTGGATTGAAGAGGGTATTATAGAGGAGGCATAAAATGCGAGTGTTCCTGCGAAGACGGATAGGGAGCCACTTGAGCCTATTGCGAAATTCGGAGACATGATCATATTTCTTAAGACCGAATACAAAGCGGATACATTGATTTTGCAATCGCTCAAGTTTATTTAATAGCTCCTCAGTGGCATCTAGGTAGCAAGCGTCTGCATAGTCCAACAGAGGCATGATCAGCGCTTGGACGAGGTAAATCTTTGTTTTCACAGGCAGCAGGGTCTGGAGACGCCTCAGTGAATGGATGGAGTAATGTACCCTTCGACTGACTTCATTTACCTGAGCATTCCACGATAAATTCGAGTCAATGAGTACACCTAAGTTTTTAGCGCGATCGGTAAATGGAATCGCTGTACCATTCAAACGCAATGGACCGAGGCCAGAGACGTCGAGAGTGTTACGATAATATCTACTACCGATGATCATGGCCTGAGACTTCAGAGGGTTGATTTGCAAGCCAAAAGATCTGGCCCACTCAGCAACACCATCCAAGTCACGATTCATGGCATCGATAGCAGAATGAGCTTCAGACATGCCGAAGTGACGGTACAGCTGCAAATCGTCCGCATAGAGATGAAAATTAGAAGAAATGACCCTGGCAACGGTATTTATAAAGATGGAGAAAAGCAGAGGAGAAAGGACGCCACCCTGGGGAACACCAGCCGCAAGGTCGCACCAATCGGATAAGGTTTCCTCTAAGCGGACCCGCTGACGGCGACCCCGAAGATAAGATTCAAACCAAGCTAGAGAAGAAACAGAAAAATTATTGGCCTTTAGGACCCCCAACAGTATGTCAAAATCCACAGAGTTGAAGGCAGAACTGAAGTCCAAGAGCACAAGAATAGTAAGTGACTTGTTGTCCATGGCCCAGCGTATGTCATCGGTTACTTTGAGCAGAGCCGTGACAGTGCTATGGCCAGGGCGAAATCCAGATTGATAAGAAGAGATTAGGTTGCTAGATGTTAAGTAAGAAGTTAACTGCCTGTGAACAATATGTTCCATAACTTTAGACAGGTAAGGCAGTATGGAAATGGGTCGATAGTGAGAAAGAGATGAAGGATTGTTGATTTTAGGTAAAGGAATAACATGGGCATTTTTCCAGGCAGAAGGAAAGGAGCAAGAGAATAAGGAGAAATTGAAAATGTGAGTAAGGATAGGAAGAAGGAGATTTAGTATGGGAGTAAACATGCGGGAACATAAACCATCCTCACCCACTGCCGAGGAGTTAATGGCGAGCATAGACTTTTTAACCTCATCCTCTGAGACACTACAGAGATCAAAAGGAGACCAGGAGGGAGGTGACGAGGAGCAAAGATCTAGAAGAGTAATAGATTTAGTAAGGCGGTCAAGAGAAACGGGGGAGAGGGAGAAGTGATGGTTTAGGGAGATGAGGTCAACATCTTTACAAACATTGACCAGGGACTTGCCGATACCCACGGACCGCAGGAACTTCCAAACATCAGCAGATTTGTGGTTAGCCAGGTTTTCGTCAAAGTAACGTCTCCTGGCATCCCTACACAGACGATTGCACCTATTACGTTGATATTTATATGAAAACAGATTTTCCTCGGATGTCCTGCGCTTCAGTTTCTGTTTGGCCCTATCTCTGCGAGCCATAGCGTCCAATATGACAGGCGTGATCCAAGGAGCCGGATCACGCCTAATCCTCACGCGGCGCAACGGTGCGTGCTTGTCAAATAGCTCGACAATTATGTCGTTGAAGAGATTGACCTTCGCATTAATGTCATCAGCATTGATAACAGAACCCCAGTCAATCCGGCGGACATCATGTTGTAATGCCTCCAGATCCAGCCGCCCGTAACTACGCAGATTCAAATAACTAGGTTTGAGTTTTGGAGGACGCATGCGGTAGGACATAAAGATAAGATCATGGTAGGAGAAGGGGGCAGTGAGTTGACCATGATCATCTACATGGTCAGGGGACGACACAATCATGATATCAAGCAAGGATGGTGAAGAGTTAGGAGGATGGTGAGTGGCTGAAAGTGGAAGTAAGTGAAGATTAAAGGATGACAGGAGAGATTGAAGTTTATCCGCACGTGAATCTTGTTTCAGAAGGCATGTATTAAAATCACCCATTATTATTATATGGTTATAATTGGGACATAAGTTGTCGAGTTGCCTGTCGAGACAATCAAAATAGTTGATACGTAAATTAGGACTATATAAGACAGCTACTAAGATTTTATTAAGATTAATTGAAATCTCGACAAACATGAACTCGGCTGACTCTGAATAGAGAGATGGGGACGCGCTGATGACGCGGTGAGGCAAGTCTGCACGTATGTACATGGCAACTCCACCCCCGCCCCTGCCCGTTCTATCGTTGCGAGCCAATACAAACCCTGGGAGTGCATAGTGTGTGGAAAAGAGGGAAGGCTTGAGGAATGTCTCCGAAATTAGTAGAACATCGAGATGAACATTGCAGAAAGTTGCCAGAAGATCAGAGTAATGACCAGGAACACTCTGAGCATTAATGTGAGCGACATTAAGGTTTTTAGGGAAAAGTGAAAGAAGATTAGACAAGTTGTCATGCTACACAATAGAGTTCCTTTTTTTGTTTATTTATTTCTAAGTTGTATATGTTTCACTTTTACAATTTAATAACAAACCTATATCGATGTAATCAGTTAGGTATTTAACTTAGCAAAGTTCAAGCTATCCCCAAGGCAAATAAACTTTGCAATCATCATAAAAATGTCATGAAAAGTATTTTGAACCATTAAAAACGGATTTAAAATTGATTGACATGTGTGGCGTTGCCCTTTATACGAAGCGAGGGATGATTCATATCCTTTACCTGACACCTACGCGTGCGTAAATAGGCTTACACAGCGGTTTATGCTAACGTGCAGTGGGCGAATAATATCGAGGTCTTTAGAATCGAATATATATCTGATGATTTTATACATTAACCCACCTTTTTCCGATAAGGATATAACATATACGTACTAGTTTAACATCCTGGAGTTCATTTCACGGTTCTATGTCTAGTCATGAAATGTAAAGAGTGCAAAGATTAGAAATTATTTCCTAAATTCTATTTTATTTATTGATGGAACTTCTGTAACTTTTTGCAGCTGATCTTACATAATATGTAAGTACATTGTCAGATTACTTTAATACAAGTAAATTGAATAGCGTGTTCATTCCCGTTTAACGACGAAATTGATAAGATTATAGTGAGCAGCATTACAATATCGCCATCCGTCTGAACTTCAAGGCTATCGCATAATATTTTTTCCCTAGAGCCTCTCCGCTTTAATGGGAAGTTATCAATTTTATGACGGACCGTGTTGGAACATCAACCCTAAGCTTTAGAATTTGAGTAATATTTATTTACACCATTTTATAATGTCCCTTTTTACGAAAATATGAAGTAAGAGTTTCGTACAATTATATTCACTGTGAGAAAAATGGTAGTGGTAACATATTGTTACCAAAAACGTGTTGTGTGTACCAACAAACTATATAGTAGACATAGATTTTAGTATGTAGAATCTAATAATAGTCTATGTGCAAGTGAAAGTGAAACATGAAACATAACAAAAAGTGAAAGAAATCTACCTATGTTTGCTCTATAAATACTGGAATTTATTCACGTTCAGACAAAGTAAGTTTAATTTAAAACCGCTGAGTCCAGGAATATATTTCAGGTGTTTTATAAATGAAAGGTTACTGTATAAGGAAGTTGCTGAACAAGATCTTTGGAGAAGAAAGTTTAACGTATAGGTATATCACTATAAATTATTCCAAAGCATTATTTTACTACAAATAATCACAGCTCTTATATAAACCTATGGTTTCTGCAATTAGTTAATTATCCGACCATTTACAGACGTGCTGTTCAATTTTCGCTTTTTTAATAAATATATATTTCTGTGACTTCCTTTTTAATTAGATATTTATATCTTTTAGTCTGGTGATGACAAAGTTTAGTAAGTAACAATATAAAGTAAATAATATTATTATTTATTGAAACTTTGCGTCTACAACATTTAGGATCCTCTTTCGATCACAAGCGTATAAAAATACATTTAAATATGTTGGTCTATCAGTACAGATGCTGGTCGTATCCTTTTTATGACAGCTTGGGGGTTTAGGTATTATTCAGTCCAGTCCCGGTCCAAAACATCGTGAATAAATATTCCATTTACCATACGTTCCAAATATGTATAAAAGCCATCAAAGCTCTTTTCAATATTTGTAGCTTATGTTTCCGTCCGACCCTATCAAATGTAGTGGAAATATTTTCACAGTAAATTTTAGATGCAATATGCGGGGAATATTTTGTATTTTATACTGCATCGTTATTTAAATGTTATTTTTATGAGTAAAGGCATTCCTATTGTAGGTATTGTACTGATAAATTTGGTATTTAGGTATCAACATTTTGTACCTATATTTACTCTACTGTAATTTTCTCAGTTCCAATAATTTATGAGACGAGTGGAAGGTGTGTAGGGAGATCTTTGGCCTGTAGTGGGACGATCATGGGTAATAAAAATATATTAGGTACTAGTAGGTAAAAAGGGTAAATTCTATATTATAGCTAACTATTTTATGTAAGTTAAGTATTTAATGCTTTCAAGATCGATGAGTATTCTGGATGCCGACGTAAAGACCGTATACCTATATTCGTCTGTACCTCTATATTTAGCCCATGTAAATGAAATGCTCTTAAAATAAAAGTTCATTCAAGACATACCTAGTTCAAAAGTTCAGGAATAAAAAAAGGTTAAACCGTATGGTAAAATGCAACGGTTTTATTTGATTGCGACCTCCCATTCATTCAAGAGCACACACTTAATTGCAGTGCGGAAAACCGTGGTCGACTGGACACTTGACCGACTTTTTTAATACCTTTTGTTACTGAATAGAAAGTATAGGAACGACTTTACTATTAGGAAAAATGTACTTTTAAGTACAATCTAATACTCAAACATTGAAAGTTTATTATAAAACGAATTCTTATGAATAACGTAATGCTCGTCAAACTTCCAACCCGAATGGTCGTTACAACTCTTTGCGCGGGAATCTTTACTAGTCTGTCACATTTGACAGATGACAGCGGCAACATGACAGCTAGTGTTGCCGATAACATAGATTAAACTAGTGACGTTCAATTTGTTGATTTTCGTTGTATGATAGTAGGTACATAACAGTGTTTGTCATTTAAATATGCCAAAACCGCTGAACAAATCTTGATGTGATTTTGCATCAAGTTTGATTTATATGAGAAACAACGTATGTATTGAGTGAAAGATTAACTAAACCATATTTGAGTCGGAGAATAAGAAGTTGAAGTAAGAAGAGCTCATTACCTCTTACCCTCCTAACATAATAATAATATAGGTACATATAAGTCGTAAATAATAATATTTCCTTCGAATTTCTGAAGTTCAGCGGTCCACAGTTTATTATTGGCAATATTTTTGAATTGGCAAAGTAACGCATACATTTATGAATGTGAAACGAAATTGTGGGATCATAAATCGAATTAAATTTCCATAATTTTGTAATGAAAGAATATTACAATAATAACGGCATATATCTCTAATTCCACGAAATTTGTGTTTAACTTTGTAAAATATTGGTATCATTACTGTATTTCTGATTTGTTTGACATTCAGTTTATCGTTATATTTGTGTTTGTTCAAATATATAATTACAAACAAAATAAACATATTTACATTGACATCAACGCGTCTACTCGCGGTGGAAATGAAAATAATACATTTCAAGTTTATTTAATAATATTTCGACATATTTGACAAATGTAAATTTTGTAATTTACCTAGATAATACCTATAATATAACATTCATTTTAATTTAATTTGTTTGATTGTATTTTAAGTACAACTCTATATACTTTAGTTCACTGACATTACATGTAGGCAAGGTTGGCAGATATCTAAGGACAAATTATTTAAGTAAATGCCTTATAAAAATACTTTCGAGTTTTAGGGTACATCCACACGAACGAGCCACGCGCGAGCCACTCGTGAGCTGGTGCTTTTATCTGAGACAAAATACGACCCTTGTAAGCGTTGAGCACCAAACCATTGTCGAGACTGCACGCCCGCAGCTCGCGAGCGGCTCGCGATATGTGGACGCACCCTAATGTCTAAACAGAAATCATCGTCACATCAGCCACAAGATGTCCACTGCTGAACGTAGGTCTCCCCTAGCGGCTAGATCGATCATCCAGCGGTTTCTTGCGACCTTTTTTGGGTCATCCGTCTATCTGGTGGATTAAAAATAACCATTGCTGTTTTTAATTGACAGATTGCCGGAGCCTGCTCGGCCGGATTTAGGCCATGGCGTGGCATGTTTGCCGGCACCCTATCAACCGTTACCACCCCATACCTCCTGTGTTATTTTAGGATGGGGTAAGAAGAGACCCACTGATGTCCATGGGACCAGAGTATTACATGAAGCACAGGTATGTAACTGGTAAATTTAACTATACTAACATAGTGGTTAGGTCAAAATGTTATGAAGTCAATCTGACTGATGTAGGTGCAGTCTCGGGTTAGGTTGTGTTTGCTGAAGTTAAAGAAAGGCGGTATTAAGTCAAAGTATAAGCCGAAACAATAAAATACCAACCAAAACCAACTTGATAAAGGTATAACAGAACGGTCTTAATCATTATCGAAAAGGATCGGATCACAATTTGTAAGTAGTGATTATGACCCTTGTACTTGTTTCGTAAAAGGAAATAGAGAGTATAATACATTTTATTTTGTCTCAGATACCCTACAGCGGTACACGTTGTTAGTCAACGGTATGTACGTATCTATTCTGAATTTCATTTTTGTGTATTATAGCAGGGTACAAACAACGAAAACTAATAGGCGTATTTGATCATAACCATAACATTGAACCTCATTTTCAGTTTGACTATGAGATTTAAAAAAATACTTATTAAGTGATCGCGGAGACGAGTCCTGAATCTGTGAATAACCTAAACTATACATATCATAATAAAGAAACTTCACAGTAGTCCAACGAAATACGCAAAATTGAACCTTAAGACCTTACTAAGTAATGCAAAGCGTGGTAGGCGTAGTTTCACTCAGGTCTATAGTTAACGAGTAATGAATTGCGAACTTCACAATTGACTCTTGCAAGTTGAACGTGATGATAAGGAGTAAATTTTAGCGCAGTGTAGGTACTAGACGGAGTTTGATCCACACGAGGCGAATAAAGACTTTGTAAACTCATGAGCTTGAGATACGTGTTTGAGTTACACTGAGAATATTTTACTAACTGTTCAAACAGTTTAGTTGCTTGTCGTTTTGAAGCTTGGAATTATAGTGATGAATTTTTTGCCGTAAGTTTTAAAGAGTTCGAGAAGTTTTAATGTTTGTTTTTAGAGAGATGTAGATGATTGAGTGGTTGTAAGATCGATTTCGTAGCACGAAGTTCATGCTTCGATCAGTGACGCTAAAAATATATTGTACCTTAGTAAGGCTCTTGACTTCGTTTGTAGTCAGACAAGGATAGATCCGACAAATATGTGCGAATTTAGATCTAGAAAATGTCACAGAATATGTAGCAAACACTGTATGGAAATTGAAGACTTATGCTGAATCCTCAATTTCGTAAAAGCAACAGCTTACGAAAACTGATTTGTCTTTGAAAGATTTATAGATACGCAAATTCTGTTAACGGAAATAAGTTCTAACAAATAATGTAACTTCAATAGTTCTGTAGGTTTATTATATCGTTTCGAACCTTTTCCTTACGATAAGGCTAAGTCAAGGCTTTTATTGGTTTCTAGGGGCCCATAGAGTTTTTGTCGGGATAAACTCGTAAACCAGTAAAAGTTGTATATTTCTATGTGAAAATTCTCGTGTGTACTGTTAGGTAGAAGTAACTGAATTCTTCTAGTATGTGACAAAATCTTTGCGTAAGTTTTCAACTGATGTATTCTTCTTTTTTCGATAAATCTGTGAAAATAGATACTAAAGCCAAATATAGAACTTAATTCAAAAGCTACGTGCCTATTAAATTACGTAGTTAAGTCTTGATTTACATCCTAACACTTTATGTAACGCAATTTGAGTCTAACCTTAGGTACAAATCGTGTGCTTAAATAGATAACCTTGAGAACTTAATATTATAATTAATAGTAAGTTGATCTTGAATTAGTTTTAAGATTCAATGATGTTTTTATACGGGGTATAGAGTGGGCGACACGTTGGGCGACAGCAGTAAAACAACAATATGATCAAAATGTAATGATGTTTTGTTCTGGTACCATGTTCATATAGGTAATTAAACTAAACAGTCCTATGAATTTATTTTACTAATATAAGTCATAAACAATACTTTTTGTCAATTATTTTTATTCTGTAAATACTTACTTCACTAAAAACTGTGTTAAATTATTACGCACTAAGATTTTTTGTAACTTTATACCATGAAAATTAAAATCACTTTATTAATAATCATAGTACACACAGCTAAGAAAAATGATAGTACGAGTATTCTGCAACATATTATCTTTCTAAGGTATAATTTTAGCATCGTTGCTATATTATTATTTTATTTCTCAGTATGTCATACGAATACGAAAAGCAGTTTTGCAAATTACAGACAGCGGTTTCTATTCATCTGTATTGCAATTTCTTCACTTCATATGAATAGGATTGTGTGTTGAGTCATACATATGTATAGATGGTTATTACGAAGATGATATGCAACCACATATGATATTGTTCGTTTCAGTCTAAGTTTGAGTAATGAATGCATGTGAATTAAGTCATCCAAAACCAATAAGAAAAACCAAGTAGTGGGAACCTTTAATATCATTGATTGTTTATACAAGGTGTAGTTTTGAAACCGTGGCATTTCTCAGGAGCATGTCACAGATACATAAAGGGTCAATGTAAGAGAAAGTTTCGGACCAATAGTTAAAAATTTCAGAATAAGCGACAGCAATGTTTTTTATTGGAGTCTTATGGAATTAGGAATATTATCAATTACGTGTTTAAGTTTGTGTGTGTTAAGCCGTTCCGTAATTTACAGAAAAATTAAAAATATTTATCTACAATTTTTTTATTGATTCGGACTCAGAATCGATAGCCGAGTTACCTCCTAGAAAAAAACGCGGCTTTAAAACAACACCTTGTATATTGCTTTAACTGAGAAAGGTCACTCTCAAATTATATTGTGTATCTAAAGCGATGACTTAGTCATTATAACAAATCTTTAACAGAAACTTTGTTATCAATTTGATTATCAGGTAACTAAAACGGGAACATGCAACAAAGTTTCAAGGAACGATAAAGTGGTGGGCGGAAATATCGACATGATTATGTAGCGAAAGATTTTATCAACACGAATCTATTGAAAGTAAGAAGCCTGCGGCGAGAAGCAGTTGTTTTGTCGGGGGTAATGCTTGAGTGGGCGAAATTATGAACGAGTAACGTAGTAAATCCTACAAAATATCTTTTTGAGCATTATTACGAACTTCGCTGGGCCTGCAACTTAGTTCAGGTGAAAATGTATATGGGATTGCAAAATCGGTATCAATACAAGAGGTCCAAATTTTTATTATGTATCTACGTAATGGTGTTATCTTTAACCATGTTGAAAAGAAAACTTATCGATGAATAGAAAATAAAGTATGTACCTAAATCAAATGGAAAATGTGATCCTGGTTGTACCCATATTTTTTCGGAATATATTGTAAATATGTATAATACAAACTATGTGCTACTCTGTTCTATCGTTACACCGATAAATTAATAATATCTATAAGTAGTAAGTACCCTTTAACATTTATAAGAGAAAGTCTATTGTCCATATTGACGTTGAGATAGGGAATGTACGTAATGTCAACGATGACAATCAATCTATATCATTCCTTTATCACGTGTTGCCGGACAATACCCAAATCTCACCATTTCGTAGAAACTTACGGTCCCATCTGGGATCCCGTTTGTCAGGGGCCTCATTTTATTCGCATTTATCAATGAGACATTGGTAATATGGCTTATCGTTTATATACCCTATATCTGCATAATGTGTTATTATGACTGAATTGTTTAGTTGTCTTTGACAATATTCTATGGGAGTTTTGAATAATAATTTGGTTATAAATGTAGCTGCTTACTGATAGAGAGCTCGGATTTGAGGGAGAAAGTACTACATTTTTCGAGTTGAAAACGTTAAAAATAAGCCTCATAAGATGACGTGGAACTCTTGTCAAATGTATGTAGTAGTTAGTACATACTAAATGCAACTTTAGTATTCAAAAGGGTACCTACATATTCTGCGAATATTATGTGTGACTTTCATATAAATATTCATAGTTGTAAGTTTCAAAATGAATACATTAAAATGTTAGGAAAGTATCTAATATTAAATTTAAAATCTAGATGGAAAAGTGAGAACTTAAATTATTCATAGTTATGAGAATAATTAAAATATCCGAACAGCTTAGATAGGTATTTGTATAGCATTAAACCTTGGCGTTATTAATTAAAAACTTTTTATCCTGATCCTCAACTTTTTAATTTAAAACTTTATTTAGAAGTTAAAAAAAGATTATAGAAGATATTAGGGTCACCTATTTGCTAATAGGGACGCATACGGTGCTCAAGTTTTGCGTATTTAACGCTGACATCAAATGGAATTTTGTTCAGCAAAGTTACAAGGGTTTCGACCCCTATTTTGAGGAAGGTTTCATTGAATATTTTATTACCATTCAGCGATTCCCAAATTTTCAAAAAGACTTGTTGCATGTGAACTATTCCGGTAGCTCATAAGGGGTTAGTAGTATTTATTAATAATGACGGCTTAAGTGACATGTAAATACCGGTCTACACATTCTTACACTGATTAATTAACATAGTTCAACATATTTTAACAAACCATACAATACATGTAAAGCGAATATTTTTTACTGTTCATTGCCAGTCGGGCCGGGCAAAGTATTACTGGGTTTTTTAATAAAAATCTCAGTAGTAGCACGGAGTCTGGAATAGTGCCCGGTATATGGCAACAGGAACAACCTATTACATGGGACTCATAACATAAATAGTGAAAAGTGAGTTTTTTTTTACAGTGTACATTTTTACATTATACAGTGGCATTAAGTGCCAAAATGTGCGCTGCCTACTCCTTCGGGGATATAAGGCGTCATGTTATATACGGGAATGTTTTTAAACAGCATTTACCTAAATACTTAACTCTATATTACAAAGCGATTTTCGCTTAATATGTTTGTACCAGGAAATGAAATGTCGATTACATTCACTTACAGAAGAACAGAAGCATTCGACTGAGAAATTGCGATTAGAATATTGAATAATGGTGTCTTGTTTAAAATAGAATGTTTCAAAGTGGTTACGAGACGTAGTATAGAAATATATCTATTCATAGATTCTCGTACGTTTATTATTCTTTAATCAGTCGTTGTTTCGCTTCTTTTAGGCAGATTTTAATTTCTGTGGGAAGACAAGATTGTAGATTTTTATTAGGGTCCGTTCACTTCTGGTGAATGTCCCGCGAATGCGCAGTTCGCGAACTGCTCTCAAGCCGCTTAGGTATATAAAATTTCGGTTATTTATTGAAACATGAACAATACTTGCCACAATAATCCAATTGTGCATCATACGTTTAGCATGTCCTACATTAAATTGTTCTTTGTGGTCCGGGTGAAATTATTGGATAGTTGGCTATCTTTTATGTAGGAAGCAATTCCGCTACTTAAACATAATAAGATTTCTGAATTTGTCGTATAATAAAAGATAATATTATGAAGGTACCTATGAATATTTCTTTTGTTCAGGTATCAACAATACAACAGGGAGTGTGCCGCCGTTCATATTGGCAGTATGCCATAACAGATGACATGGTGTGCGCTGGGCGAGGACGTAGAGACTCTTGCGCCGGTGACTCAGGAGGACCGCTACTCTGCAGGGACCGTACTATGAGATATTTCTTACAGGTAAAAATACAGACTAAGTATAAAATATATTGCTATACAATAAAAGCGGGAAATAATAATTTGGAAATTATAAGCATGGTGGTAACACTATAGTTTTAGATTTTGTGCTATCATAGAACATTTTTATTTTTAATCGAATAAGATACTGTATCAAGGACCAGGAACGAAAATATACAACAACGTTGGTATTTTAAATAATACCCTCTTAATAAACAAGTCAGATGCAATTTTGGCAGGAAATATTACGCATTTCTCAGCACAACTTCTTTAGATGCTTCAACTTTTATTATTCTTCATGCGACAATCAACAACAATCACCACATTTTTATCTTAATGGAAAGAATAAATAGATTTCAGAGAACAAAAGGTCTTAAAAGAGAAATGAACTAAGAACAAAGAAAATTACGAAGTTTTGAATTGGCGGTCGACGCCGAGTAATCATGGCCGACCCTTCCATAATACCGTTAATATACTTAAACTTGAATTAAATTTTAAATAATGGAAATGAAACGTTAAAATAAATGTTAAAACAGTAAATTGTCTCTATTAAAAATATGGTATTCTACGAACAGATATCTATTTAGGTTCGTTGTTATTGTTGATCGAACAGGTTCAGGATGTGTTTTATGATTAGTACTAACGATACTAAATAAAACGTTTTAAAATAAACGAGTAAAAACAAAAATAAGTTCCTAAATCTAATAAGAATTTCACTCTAATGATTCCAGACTACGCTAATGCTACGTGTACCTGTGTGGTTTTCTTAAATGGCTCTGGTTTTATACTAAACAGAATTAACAAAACGTTGTCTTGTAAAATTAATGGCGCTGGAACCTGGTATGCATATTTTACCAGGGCTGTCGAGCTTAGGAAATAACAACCTGACTGCTCAGGCACACTCAGTTATGACCTAGATATTAAGGTATATTTTATGAATAGGACTCAAAAAATTATTAAGGCGGGAATCAAAAGTTTTCATTTATCAGATTCAAAGAATTGTGACATCAATGTCGAAGAGATTCGATCTTGGTGCGAGTAAATAATTTTCTACATAGTTATTTATGCTACGTCAGCAGCTTACCATCAGATGACTCGTAAGGTTTACTACTGATATATAACAAAAGGTGGAGAAATTGAGGAGACTTGATTACGAGAACGTAGTCTGCTATAAAAACTCGAATTCTCTAATTGAAAACTCCAAATAAAATTCAAGAAGTGCTGAGACAAAACCTTTTAAGAATTTTACAATACGCAATTTAAGTAACCGACATCTAATGGAAACATAAAATATAATATTTAACTTAACGTCGACTTTGTTGATTGATGGAAAGACACGAAAATCAGGAAAAATATAAAAGAATACTGAACATTGAACAAAGAATAACCCCATGAAAATCCTCGAAAAGGTGTTCGAATATAAACATTATTTTAGGAGGATTTCCAAAGGCTTCCATTTACCTTTTAACGCAACAGACAAAGAAAGAATCAACAATAGTGATCAAGATGTTAACATGATTATTATCAAAAAAAATATTGTTAGAAAATCTTTAGAAATAGTTACAGAAAAAAAACATAGAACTTACTAAATTATTAATGAGGTTCGATAATAAACACTGCAACAACAATACATGTTTGTTGTTGTTGTTTCTTAAATATTTAAACTACATCTCGTTTCAGTAAAACTGAAGTTAACTCTAATGTTAACATTAGAATTCAAACTTAAATACCTACTGCATTGTATCAAAAAATACTAAAATACATAAACCTACCAGTTACCCTACTATGTAGTTTCAAGTTTAATTAAATACACGTTTATTGTATTAAATTACCTACCGGTTTGTTACAAATTATATGATTATTATTCGTTTACTAATTTCAAATATATGATAGGAACCGTATTACACATAATAACAAATAGGTATGAAATATATATTTGCAATATAACGCTTATTATCTATAATAGTCCTGTCAGAGATAATGGAAATGTCCCGGTTGGACGTAAGTACCGACCGCTAATGTGATAATGTTTCATGACTGGTTCGGGACGAAATTCAACTGTATGGGAATTTAATATTACCTATTATCTGTAATTGTGTAGACATGATATAATATGAAATATCATTAATAGTCCATAATATACCTAATAATTAATTATTATGTAGTAACTAGCTGTTGCCCGCGACTTCGTTCGCATAGAATTGTTATTCACAGCTCCTCCCCCGTAGATAATAGCATGATAATATGTAGCCTGTATGTTGACCCGACCTGTTAGTAATATTCATGCAAAATTTGAAGTTATTCCATGCAGTACTTTTACTGACATACATACAGACAAACAGACAAAAATTCTAAAAACCATATTTTTGGCTTCAGTATCGATTGTCGATCACGACTATTCTTTTAAAAAAATATTCAACGTACGGTTTTACCTTTCTACGATTTTATTATACGTATAGAATAGATAGATATTAATGTAATATTGTTAGCTGTCATTTAAATATCTACAGCGTAACTAGAAAACAAATCGAATAAAATAAAACAAAAATTACAATCCCCTATATTTTAAAAGAACAATGAAACTTACAGGTACTTGTACACGAATTTGTGTTAGAGCACTTGTTTGTATTTACAAATGAGAATAAAGTTCGTAAATACTAATGTACAGTCATTTAAGAAATGGGGCAGCCCTACTCTGGGCCAGGTGTTATTCCCGGTTAATAAACAGAAACGTGCGCATTTATAGCGACTGCTCTGCAATTCGGAATAGGTACAAACACGACCACTTCCGAGACGGTGATTGTGAAAACCCCTTTAGTTTTCTATTTTCCGATACCTTTTCCTTCAATTTTGTCTGTATTAAGAATCTTTTTACACTTTTTATATTTGAAAATTTTATTATATACAATCAACTTAGTTGAATTTGAACAGTTTTTATTTAATTAACTAGAAAATAAAATATTAAAAAAAGATATAATTTAGTTTTCGCTATAAGACAAGACTAATTACAGGTCAAGGAATTTTAATTAAAGCGTTAAATTATTTTTTAAAGTCTCAGAGTTAGTTGTGTCGCATTTTTGAGGCAGAGACAAATAAAAATTCTTAATGTTCCTAATTTCTTAATTATCATCAGCAGGTGGAATATGTTCACTGAATAAAGGTTTTAAAAGTTTTTTCGTAATCCCTATACTTGGCAAATGGCCTCAGGCCTAGTTAGATCTCCAAAAATTAAAAGGCTGCTTCTTCTGGACTGTCGACTGTTAGTTACAACTTTGAACATACCTAATTGTAACTGGGTTAATTGTTGACAATAATGTTTTTTTTTTAAATATTACATTTCTTATTCTCCACGGACTCTTGTCCGTGCCCTTGTCATTCCATTACATTTTCTTTTAATTTACAGTCAAAATTAATTGTTACAAAAATCTTACGTGCTACATTAACCACATTTTTTTTCACAAAGAAGGTTGTGTCTAATATCTATATATACACAATACATGTTTTATTAGATTAACATTAACCTTACTGTACTGACAATAATGTTACCAACGTGACGTTATTTGAGATACTGACTATAGAATATACATAGAGTAACAAAGATTTAAAATTTTAGTCCGGCAAAAATGTCAAATTCACCCATGCATGGTATGATTTACGAACCTGTCGTAACTTTTAACAGTGAGTCAAAATGATTGTATGTCAATAGGTATCGAATATTCCGGGTTTATAAACCTTTTAAAAAGATTTTCTTTAAACGCGATACAAATGGACGTGACATTCACAATTTGACGAAAAAGCAAGAAGCTTATCGAAGATTAAAGAGGAATAATTTTTTGAGGATCCCGAGTTAAATGCCATATAGTCGTAAACCTAACAAGGGTAATGTCCTCAGTAATTTGCATTTATGTGGACATATTTTAAATGCTTATAACCGACATTTATGCTTTATGTTCTAGAATGTTGTTTGTCTGCGGTAAAATGGTGCCGATGGAAGGCCCTAATTGTGTCTGTTAATGCTCATAAACATTATTGAATGTGTCTATTTTGCGGTATCTTGCTGCCGTGGCCAATATAAGGGGCACGTGTATTTAGGAATTTAATACATTTTAACTATTAAGTAACAAACTATTACAGCAACTTAGTATGATGGATATAAGTCTATGTTCATCTTCAAATGGTTTGAAATGTGGACCGCGTAGATAGTCCACATTTTAATTTTAAAAGGACTACCATATGGTATTGCTCTTACTTTAATGAGAACTTTATTTAGTACTGAAATGACACAACACTTGGAGAAAAATGCACAAATACTTATGTATATATACGGAATAAACGTTATAGAACTGAGTCGGATTTTATTTGCAATACTGAGTTCAATGGCCCGTTTTGGGATACTAAAGGCAATAAAACCTTTTACCTACTGTACGAATTTTCGTACGAGTTTTTATAAGTAAGGAATCGAAAATTTTCTCATTTGTTCTTTCATATTATTTTCGGTTCAGTAGATATGTGAATTCTTATTCTAGATCGTCAAAAGAAGATGGACAATTATTATTATTACACATTACTTTGGGTCGGATAAGTAAATATGTGCTAAAAGAAAGGTAGGTAATTATTTGCTAGTTTTGTTACAATTGGTATGATGACAGGGTATGAAAATTAAAAATCTAATTAGTCCGTAAGTTAGGTAATGAAAAAATATTAGACACGTATTTTTTATTTTGTCGTATAATAAAACAATACTTAGATAAAACGAATCAAAGTTTAGGAGTAGGGGCTTAAACGTCATTTCTACGTATAAAATGTACATAGAAGTGACGTCACGCGACATTTCAAATCAATATATTGTCAAAAGTATTCGTCTCTGTAAGAAAATAAAAAATACATGTCTAATGATTTAAAATAATCTACCAGACGGACATTAAAATAAAAATTAGGTATCTACACTATTCTTATTATAAAATAAATAGGCAAAAAAATTTTTTTTCCCCTCTTTGGCAAACGAGTCTCCAAAATGATCTAAGGCAAAAATATGATTCAGGTAGTACACATTTAACATAACCTTTTATGTAACACATTTATAGGCCCGAATACTGAAAAGCTCCTCTATTTTAAGTAGCACTTTAGTGTAGTTCTGTCACCACAGATTCTTTGTAAAATGATAGAGATTTGGTACGACCTTTAAGTACAACTTTTCAGTAGGTATACGGGCGTTAATGTTTTGAAAATGAACAATATGGGTATCAGGAACAGGGAGAAATGATTAGAAGCTTTTGTCTTTGGAGTTAAGGAACTAATTGACTTCAATAAGTTATTAATAGTGCAGTTAGACTGATATGACTTGTACTTAAAACAGTCAATAATTGAAATAGAAGTCAAAGAGCAATATTGTATCTCAAGTGGATTATGTGATACAGTGTTGAGTGTACTTAATAGTAATTGCATTAACCACTTTATTACTGGAACTAAGTTAAGCTACTTGTATTCGTATTGCGTCGTATAAAGGTTGATACTTTGTTGTAAACATGGATACTAGTAGGTGTATTAATGGTTGTAATCCTGAGGGCCTAGTACTTGTTTTTTATGGAAGTGGAGGCAAACGAGCAGACGGATCTTGAATTTTGATCTTAGGAATTGATGTTGTTTGTTTTAAGTTAACGCGATCAACAAGTTTATAACGTTCATCGTTCTGATTGGCTTGCACAAATAAACCAACCAATTAGAAGGCTGAATTCTGTAGCGTTTCGATCGTGTTAACACAAAAAATAAAATCGCACTAGGCCCTCTGATGAATTTGTATTTTATATCGCCTTTAGCAATGTCCATTTGCCATTCAAAATGCGTCGAATGTGTTACAACTTTATTTGAAGCAATCACACAGCCTGCTCGATACAAACTCTGTACTTTTTTCAAATCTAATTAAAAGTTTTCGAATGAAAACACATTGTTGGGAAATCGTCGTACATTTGTGTTCAACCATGGAAAGTTTTCCCGTTCATGTATTTGAGTGACATTTCAAATATTGCGCACAACAATGTAATTGTGATGTACACGTGTTCAAGTAATAATATAGAAGTTTGAGGAATTTTAATTAGTGTACGATATACAGAATTTTACTTCCTCACATTTTATAGTCTTTTTGCTAATTTTGTTGTTAATGGATGGCGAGTGAGCGACTTAAGGTACAATTTTGAACTCCACTATGTTACTGAGAAAATCATACTTAATCAAAAGTAGCAATGTGTTCTGCAAATTTGTTTGTGTTTCAAACTATTTTGAACAATTTACCTAGATTAAATGGACCATAATTTTCATTGACAGGGTATCACAAGTTTCGGCGATGGTTGCGGTAAACGGGGCAAATACGGAATTTACACGCGGACCGCAGGCTACGTGTCATGGATGCGTGACGTCATGAACAAGAAGTATTTTGACTGAAACCGCAAAAGGTCTCAAACCCCTTTTAGCAGAGTTGTGGTTACCTAAACCTATTTGTTATACCTAATTACGCTTTTCCCAAATTGTTTTCTTTTTATAAATTTGTAACTGATGTGATGTAAAAACTCGTAGGTACCTATAGCATTTCCTTCCAATTCCAAATATAAGTGATATATCCCCGATTTCCCCTATAAGAAAGTTGTGTACAATATCTGACCTCACCAACTTTACGAACGTCTTGAAATGAGAAGCGACATTTATCGATCAATTTTATAACATTGCTTTACCATACCATACCACACATAATATTCATTTGTATAGACTTTAGCATTCAATAGAATATTTAAGATGAAAATTTCTTCCTAACTAAAGTCTAACTGATTTATACATTATATGTATATCTAATTTTCACTTATGACCTCATTTGAAATAAACTAAGTTCAAGGTTACGTTCATAACTTTACCTAAAAGGTCAATTTATAGCTCGCTGTAATACCTAATTTTATTGACGATAGATACTTACCTAATAATATTTTGAAAGCGAACGTATCTTGCTAATGTAACTTTATCAAATTTGGGTACAAGACCATTTGTTTTTATGACTTTATATTAATGTTACATTTTATTTATGTATAACATTTTGAAATATAATTTTATGTGTTTCAGTTTATAACCGATAGATTTGTCAGTTTATTTGATGATGAACATTGACATACCGTCCTTGTAAGAGGTTGCGAATGACCATAATCTGAGGGCTTGGTAGGCACTAGTACGTTTCACATTTAACGAAATCAAAACGTTACTGCGTTTAGCTCTCTGATTGGTTGATTCATTGGAGCAGGCCAATCAGAGCGCCGAACGCCGTAACGTTACAATTTTGTTAAACGAAACAAACTCGTACTGAACCCTCAGATGATGGTTATTCGCAGCCTCTTACAAAGATGATGTCTCATACATATCATATGCCTTGCCACGTTGCGGCGTTCGGCGCTCTGCAGCTGTAGCCAAATGCCATTTAGCGGTTGTCTATATGTAGAATAGAAAACCAAATTATACGGAATTGACGTAAATTTTGGCACTTGTCAGTATCATCCCCATTCATTTAGTTTTCTACTCTCTCTGTAGACAAGCGCTAAAGTGGCATTTGGCTAAAGGCACTGATTGACCTGCTCACATGAATCAACCAATCAGAGGGCTCAACGCGGTAACGTTTCGACCTCGTAAAACGTACAACAAAAGCGGTCTAAACCCTCAGTACAACCTGGTTGAAACATCAGGATTTCCACTTATATAAACATACCATTTTCGACATAATTGTGTCAATGATTTCCATATTCTGTTAATCTTACACTAAACTATATCATGTATACTAACCAAAGTTAATAAACTACAGCTTGAAGCACTGTTTAAACATAAGCAACACCTAAAGAAACTTTGCAAATCAAACTAGAACTACAATTAACTATTCATAATAAGACTATTCAAATACAAATTAATGTGAACTTTATTCACGATTTTATTAAAATTTTAAATCATGTTGTGTGAGCACTTGGCAAAGTTTTTTTTTTTGTTTCGAATATTGTTTTTTTATTTAATATAAGTAAATTAAGTGATAATGATAAATAAAGTCTCTCTAAGTTTTGTATGGAGTTGTTTAAATTTCTTATCTCGAAGGAAAAGTCAATGAACTTTTCAGTAAGATGACATTGACTGAGACCAGAACAAACATTATTTTGAGGTATAAAGATAAAACAAGGCTCAATGTCCGTATATTTTTGTCCAGTCTCCAAAGTATCCAGATATTCTATGAATAAAATTACCAATTCAAGTTGTTGTTAGATTTAATTCAGATTGCGCTGGGCATTCGATGTATATTTTTGTTTTAATAAGATTCATGACTGACAAAATTTTGTACCTTTCTCGAGAATATTGTGATATCCTGCTAATAAAAACATCATATGGTTTTTTGTAAAACATGTATAACAATAAAAGTACTTATCACAAAACATAAATAAGAGTATAAGTAAAACATGCAATTAAAAAAGACAGTATAACAACAGATTATACAAAAAAGTATTAATACAATTACAAAAAATACAAAAATAGCAATAATAAAATAAAAATACAAAAAATATTTACATAAAAAATATAAATTACATATCGAGTGTGAAAGCGTCGACGTCATCATTTTCTCGAGCTACATCGAGTACCCATGGGACCAGTCGCCAGATACCTGTGTACTGTGCACTCTGGTCGCCCCAAGGCCGTCTTTCCTCCTGTAAAATAATCTATTTTAATGAGCCTGGCACATGGTTGTTTAAGATTTCCGCTACTCATGCATGAGACTGTGTGTTCGAAACCAATCGTGAGGAAACCTGGGTTTATAATTTCTAATTATAAATTTGAAATCGCCAACCCACATTAAGTAAACGTGGTGATTAATGTTCAAACCGTCTCCGTGCGAGAAAAGGCCTTTAGTCAGCAGCGAACAGTTATAGGCTGTTGATGATGGTGATGATGATAAGATACTAAGTACCTACGTAAGATATTTTTAGAGTTGATACCTCTTTTTAACGAAGAAAGTCTTCCAATAACTTCTCCCGCCTCGGGTGAGGCCAGAGAAAGTGTCAGACTGACTGACTAAAAACTACCCCGTTCCTATTTTTGTTTAGAACCGGAGGCCTGGTAACCAGTTAGCTCGTCCGCAGAGATTTGATACCTCTTTAACCAACCAAACAAAAGACTTAAAAACACATACTTTATTATGTAACTAATTTTTTCTCGCAACATAAATAATTTCATCAAATAAAATATAAATTAGAATATCAGTGAAATTAAAACGGTGCGCAATATAATATCATAGCCAGCAATTCCCAGGTGAGAATTAAATGAGAAAAATATTTTCATTTGTATAATTAAAAATAGCTTCGAGACCGTGCCGTACCTATACGTGGATAATTATATGAAATATTATGAGACATTTTCAGGAAAATTAAATTATTCTAGCAAGCTAATGTTAGTTGGTCAGACCTAAAATCATTAGTTTTAGTATGATTTAACAGCAGGACCATCTACCACGTACATTTCTGCACTACCTAAAGATGACTGATGACTGGCAGAGAATGCTGTTAGCATTAAGTCCTTCTAATGCAATTGTATTACTTAAATAAATAAGTAAAATAAATAAACAAAACAATGTGAAGTTTCGTTAACTGAATTTTGAATTTTATTTTGATTGATATTTTACTTGATTGACTTGACTTGACTTTCTATTTGATATTGTATTGTGGGTCAGATCGTTAACATCATGATTGTAGAGAGTACCTAAGTCCACTGCGCAAAATAAGCTTCTCCAAATAATTGAGGAACATTACCTGCGCAATTTTCGTCAATTCCCTAGATTAATATAATAAGCAATTTCCTAAATCTGTGTCCTGTCCTATAAAATGAACAGCAAGATTGTTAGGTCGTGACAGTGATTAGCTTGCGAAACTTAGCTGTGGTCGGGCGGTTGCCGGTTCCCGGTCGTTCGCATAGCTAGTTGGCAACGCTGCCCGGTTGTCTAGGAAGTGTATTGTATTGCACTTCCGCAGAGCTTTGCACTACAGGGTTAGTTAGCATAAGAACGGTAGGTACACTGTGATTATTGTATACTACTAGCAAACCCGGCGAACTCCGTTTCGCCACCATAGATACATAAAACAAAGCCTTGTTTTATGTAACATTTCGTTTGGCTATTAAAAGATGAAGAAATTTTTTCCCTGATTTTTCTCTGCTATAAACTCGGACCTCGATACCTTTCCAACGAATGCAAAACCGTGGAAATCGGTTCGTGCGTTCTGGAGTTATAGCGTCAGGAAGGAAAACCCGACTTATTTTTATATAGTAGATGATACATATGACGAGTGCGACTGCCGGGCAAGCGGTCTCGGGTTCGATTCCCGAGTCGCGCAAAGTAATACTGGGTTTTTAAAAATTCACTGTATTTATACGGAGTCTGGAATTGTGCCCGGTATATGGCAATACGCTCACCCCCTATTACATGGGACTCATAACATGCATAGTGAAAAGTGGGTGTTACATTGTACAGTGTCATGTTATGTTACTATAATTATTTCATTTAAATATACTTTAATATATTTACTGTAATAATCGTAGTTAAAAAGAAAGCCTCTATTCATGAAATTGACGAATTAATATCAAAGTGAATTTGTTACTTTAGTAGATTTTTCTAAACTGATGAACTTATCCTTATGAATATTGTTTATTAGATAGATAAAACCTAACGAAAATGTAGCTTTTTCATGCGAGCAAATTCATGAACAATTTCTGTACTATAACATAAATTAATCATTATAGGTACTCAAACGTGTTAAAAACATTAAATTATTATATCACGTATTCTGAGTTTGTTGAAATAAACTAATAAGTACTTATATTATATATATCAACGGTAAACCCTGAGATTGAAATTTCTGGAGAAGTTTGCAAAGTTAAACATCTTCCGAATCTCATTACTACATTATTTATGTTCCCAGGTGTCTCATTTGAGTTAATAATATGTGTAACGAATTTAGTATAAACAGTATCTACTCTGAACAAGATGTTTACATGCAAATGCATATCTAAGTACATATTATCCTGCTACCGAGTAATGGGGATGATGACAGGGTATGAAAATTAAAAATATAATTAGTCCGTAAGTTAGGTAATGAAAAAATATTAGACACGTATTTTTTTATTTTGTCGTATAATAAAACAATACTTAGATAAAACGAATCAAAGTTTAGGAGTGGGGGCTAAAACGTCATTTCTTAGTATAAAATGTACTGAGAAGTGACGTCACGCGACATTTCAAATCAATATATCTTCGAAACTATTCGTTTCTGTGAGAAAATAAAAAATACGTGTCTAATGTTTTTAAATAATCTATCAGACGGACATTAAAATAAAAATTAGTCGTCTACCCTATTGGTTGTATATTATACATACGTAAGTTCTAAGTTTATATGTGTGTATTTTGTAATTAATAGGTAATATAATATTTTATGTATAATATCGCAAATGCGACTGCCGGGCAAGGGGTCTCAGGTTCGATTCCCGGGTCGGGCAAAGTAATATTGAAATTAAAAAAAAATCTCAATAGTAGCACGGAGTCTGGAATAGTGCCCGGTAAATGGCAATAGGCTCACCCCCTATTACCTACATGGGACTCATAACTAAAAAGTGGGTGTTACATTAGTACAGTGGCATTCAGTGCCACTGTACTAATGTAACACCGGCGTGATGTTATGTTAATGTTTTAAAATGTTAACAAGTACTAACCGTTGCTTCTTGATCATAGCAGATCAAAGACATAGCAGTACGTTCATACGATAACTGTCTTTCATTATCATCACTATCTGCGTCACAAATAAATAGTCAATATTAAATGTACGGTAAAATGGGGTGAATATGGATCGAGAGGTGAATAGTGACAGAAGGGAGGTGAATCAGTACTATGAAGAATTCCCAATATCTATTCACCCCTATTCTGTCTCTATTCACCTCTCGATCCCTATCTACCCTATTTTACGGTATCGCGGAGAACCTAACGGTCGAGGAGAACTTAATGGGTAACCGGGGCTCCGGCTCGACGTGCAGGAGAAGGAACGGGGTGGTTTTTAGTCAGTAAGAGTCTGACCCTTCCGCCTCACCCAGGTGGGAGCAGTCATTCGATGTATTTCCCCCCTTAAAAAAAACCTATTTTACGGTATGCCTTTAAACTGCTAGGTTATTTTGTAAGATGTCAGTTCAAACTAGATTGCGGTCCACCATGTTGACCGCATGGTTTTGAGCATATTCTCGGCGAATGACGGGCGCAATGCGATTGAGTTTACTTCGAGAGTTCGAATTAAGTTCATACAAAATAGCCTTGCTTTTGCTAATATTGTTGTAAAATGTTTTCGTATAATAATCGACAATCCTTACTAATATCATAAATCAGAAAGTGAGTTTGTTTGTTTGTTTGTTTGTTCCACTTTCACGCCGTAACTACTAAACCTTTCTTTGAATTTTTGCAGACGTAAAGTTAGAAGTCCAGATTAAATAATAAGGTACTTTTTAACCCGGAAAAATTTGATATTCCCGAGGAAAAACAAAAGTATTAGTATAGATGGCGCTGTGTGTATTGGTATATGTCACATAGGCTACTTTTTATGCTTTTGTGACGCGAGCGAAGTCGCGGGTAAAAGCTAGTAATTATTATTTTAGCTAATGGACTAACGCCATGTTCCTATTTCAGTAAAGATTCTACGGCAAAAATTATTCGTCATCAAGAATTCTGTTTGTAATTTTTAACCGTTCTAGAGTGGAAAAGCTTCGCAATAAATTGAGGACTTACAGTTCATTAGCACAAAGCCGACGTTTTTTTATATCATTCAAAGTCAAAGACAATTAAGAATGGAATGAAGTGTTGCTATTCTTCAAACAAATCTACGTTAGCATTTATCAAAATGTTTTGTGTTTAATGAACCTTGTCGAATCTTTTGAATTGGTGAATATGAATTTATATGGTTGCGTTGATTTTTGAAGATGGACTTCTTATCTATCGCTGGTAATTTGTTATTTACATAACATAAGATTACGCCTTTTATCCCCAAAGGGGTAGGCAGAGGTGCACATTATGCCACTGTACCTACAATGTAACACCTACTTTTCACTATTTATGTTATGAGTTCCATGTAATAGGGGGTGAGCCTATTGCCATATAGGTACCGGGCACAATTCCAGACTCCGTGTTACTACTGAGTTTTTTTTAAATCCCAGTAATACTTTGCCCGCACCGGGAATCGAACCTGAGACCCCTTGCCCGGGTCGCACTTGCGACCACTCGGCCAACGAGGCAGTTGATCACTGTTATTTGTAAGTAATAAATTCAAAGAAACGAATTATTCATGATCTCATGATCATGATCAAACGATATTCACGAATTGAAATCTATGTGATGTAATGTCAAAAATACTAGCTAGTTTTACTTCTAAAGTTTCCTGAAACACCTTCAAATCTCACATTGATTGATGGAATTCCACTAAATAATATTATCCATGAGATAATAATATAAACAGACGACGGCTATGATAAAGCAATCCTTACACGGTTAGATTAAGGGGTGTTACTATAAGCCGACGCGCGCTATTCTCTCGCAGTTGACAGGAAACCAGGAAATGAGAAGCTAGACAAAGCATGAGTTCTGTAATAGCATTATACTAGGACAAAGGAAAAGGGGAAACCGATCAGTTTAGTCTTGTTTTACGTCTGTATATTGGAACAAGATTCGTGTTGATTTTTAAACACCATTTATTACAGAATATTTTTTTTTGATCGTTTTGGTATTTGAGAACGCAACCTTTATTTTATTCTGTTGGCAATAATTGTAACTGTTAGGTTAGCAACATTTTTTTTATTCTCTCTCCCGCGTTTTCTCTATGATTGATTGTTGATTGTATGTAAAAGTCTTGGTCAATAAAACTATAAAACAGATCGATTCGATAGAGCTTGTTTTGAAAATTCACAATGTTTATAGTATTTTGCTTATACCTTGACATTGAACATAATATCAATGATTTTTGTAGCTTCCATTAAACCATGTATCACCAAAATACTCGTGAAAATGACCCTCTCGACGAAATTTCTTTTAATAAATTGACTAATAAAGTTTTATTAAACGTTATGGTAACTGACTGACTTACAATTTGCAGTCATGGTTGGCATTGCGTAAGCTCATAGTACAAGGACATTCAAGCTAAATAAAGGACTTAGTTAAAAATTCACCAAATTAATGCAACTCGTTAGGCGACTCATTTAAATGTAAATCTGATGGCAACCAAAGAGTGCAAACAGGGTAATTCAATTAAAAAGAATGAAAAGAAAATATTTTTGAATCTTATTATAAACATTTAATTCTGCGAAAAGGTTAGTAGAGTTGCACACATTAATTATAAAAAAAAACAATTCTTTTTACCTACAGTCGTGGCTTATGCTAATCACGACCATAAATATCTCGAAAAATATTTCTAATCCAGTTTAATTGCATTAATATTGAGTTGTTTAAATTTGTCTTAAGTGGCATGGATTTGAAATTTTTTCTGGCCTAATTTCTAAAATTTTTTTCGTAATTTTGCCAAAACGCTTTTTAATAAGTTCAACAGTATTTCTTACTATGGCAGCTTACCATATCAAAAGTATACAGGATGCATTATACTAGATTCAGTTCTACTGTATATTTTCTCCAGTTAATTACTTGCAATTAATTCAGGACAAATGATTAATAATTCATATTTGTTAACAAAATTTAAACGTTCATTATATCATCGGATTTCAGAACATACAAAAACAATGAATTTTAATCTTGTCTCTTTTGGTTTCATTACTGCACAATGCTATCAATAATAAATTTTATAATTTTGCGTGAATACAATCGAACTCATTAAATATGTAAACAAATTATAATGGGACCATCGAGAGTCTAAATATACTTTCGACAATATTCACATCAATTGGTAAATAAAACATGGGTGTATTATATACCTTTGTAAACCTGAAAAACGTAATGTTCATTTTTATTTTAATCGATTCCATCGATCACAACCCGTCTCAATTAGGCTAGCCATTCTAGTCCTACTGAACGCAAGACACAAGGCAATATCAGTTCGAGGTGTATATGATATTCGCTATGAATCTGAATGATATTCGCTATGCTCACGGAATTAAATGTGCGTAAATGAGCGAACGGCTCGTCGCATTATCCCATTCAGACCACCACTGATGAGACCCAATAGGACTGATATCCAATACAGAGTCGCGGAAGACTTAACGGGTTGCCAGGGCTCCAGCTTGAAGAGCAGAAGTAGGAACGGGGTGGTTTTAGTCAATAAGAGTTTGACAATCCCTCTCGCTCACTCAAGGCAGGAGAAACCCATAAATGATTTGTCCCACTTATAAAAAAAATGGTAAATAAACCTGTAAGTATAAGGCGACCAATTTTCCTCCCACGAGCAGCAAGCCACCGTGTATAGGATCGGTGTCCTCGCCAGCATACGGTGGCAAAGCAAGGCAGTACACGTTTTTGACGCCACCTTCTTCAGCAAGACGCTTCGCTTTACTGAAAACGTAATACGAATTAAATTTTAACTAGCCCGGTACAAATATGGAGGCAATCTTTTGTTGTTGTTCATGGTAATAACATGTTGGCAATGTAAAAGTCAAGAATAGCTGGTAATGTCAGTTTTAAAGCTAATTTTGTAAAAATAAGGAGTATGTTTTTAAGTTTTTAAGTTAATACCTAATTATGTTTGGATCCGTAAAAAAGATTAGAGTTTTATGCTTTGAAAATCCAGGTCTATTAGGGTATTATATTTACTATAAGTTCATTAATCTTATGACTAAGCTTTATTTTACCTGTACCCTACATTGCCAGGGCAGGAACCAGAGAATACTTCATTTTCATATGACATAAGCGGTGACTTCGGCAAATCATTGGACGAATATCTTGTGTCGAATCTGTAATAATAGTTTTCCTTATTTTCAGAAATATGCGTAACCTTTTACTTACTAGTAAAGACCAGAATATAATTAATATCAGCAATATATAATGAGCTTAATATTTATAATATGGTCATAAAGCCATAGATATGCTATCTTTCTTATTCTGACCTTTAATAAAGACTGTAATAACCAAGAAGGATTTATTTGTAAGAATCTGAAATCCCATCCAGGACTAACAAGAAAGGCTCAACTGTAATTGTCTTTCTTTCTGTCTGTTACAGCTTTACGCAATTCTTCATTGTTATTTCTCAATGTCATTTATTTTAATGCTTATTCATAAGTGTACCAAAAAGGACATTAAGATCTTATTTCTTTGAGATGTAATAAAAAATATTTGCGCCGTTTCTATTCTTATTCGTCTATTCTTCAAACAATAGGAACATAATAATAATAAGAACGCGTTGTAGGTAACATACATTTCTACCAACTTTAACCATACCTGTCTAAACCCCACCCAACAGCATTGGCAACAGATCCTTCGTCATCAGCTACAAATTGATGGGACATCATGGAAATCGATGACCAGGCGCTGCATGCAGATGACATTGAAGTTACTACTTGAATTAGACCTAAAAGTAGACATAGTTATAAGTAAAGGTTTTGTATCTACTGTACTGTACTGTATTCTAATCTGAGGCTATATGTTCTTTGTTTATTTTCATACTTAATTAATTTATTTTTAAATATTTGATTATAAAGAAACATTTAAGAACACAAAAGGCAATATAGCCCACCAGTATCGGATGAAATCCAAGCTACCGGCGGTCAGGGCTCCAGAGAAAGGAATTTCCAAACAATACCCGTACCCACCTTGTCCAGAAATACTGCTTTCTGCATCAGGCTCTTGACCCCACCCGACCATCTAACGCTAGCCTACCCTAGTGTTGGTCGAAGCTTTTAGCAATTAAGCCATTGGCAGATACGACTATCGGCACAATGATGTGTTATAATTATTATTATGTTACGTAAAACAGAACCATATTAAAGGTATAAATCCCTAACCAGTGCAGAAATTAATGATACTTAATAATTTAGGCTACATTATCTTTTTCCGAACTATGACATTATAACGTGAAGCTAACATTAATTTAGTTTCGGAATAGTAAAATATTTGACATATATGATACATATTTTCTGTTTAGGTATATTGTTAACAGCTACGGAACATTTATGTGTTTCATAATCACAACCATGAAGTAGATATGCTTGGAACCCGATTTAATTATGCTACCTGTCATCAGAGTGAGTAATTATTAATATTATTTATTATACAGCGCTTGACTCCTGTTTTCTTCCTACCGCACATATTTCTGCGTATGCAATATTTATTTGAGGAATATATTCATAACTAGCGATCGTTTTATGTGATTTTATCTATCAATAATTATTCATTCACGGCCTCACAAAAGACCGACGTGAAACAACGCTAGCGTCGTGTGTCATCGCGTGAGTGAGTTTACCGGAGGCCCAATTACCCCTCCCCCTTATTCCAAATCCCTGAGTTCCCAACAATTCTCAAAGTCCTAATCCCAAAAAGTCAGTAACGCACTTGTGACGCCTCAGTGTTTCTGGTGTCCATGGGCGATGTCGATTGCTTACCATCACGTGATCCGTCCGCTGGTTTACCGGCTTACCATATAAAAAAAAACAATTACCTAAAAATCGCGGGTTACTCACGTAAACATAGCAGCGTGCTCATGAGGAAAAGCCCCTCTGTAGCTCGAAACTAGTAGAGCTTTTCTCAGTATTTAGTATGTCTCTCGGTAGTTAATAATTATTTACTTAGATTTTGTATGCAAATACATTTTCAAACTAATGGAAATGTAATGAATTAAAATCAATCTTGCCTATGATACCTATGATATCTTCGGTAACAGACATCTGAATATTTTCTAGTCTTTCCCTTGAAATGAGACAGACAAGAAGAAGTAATATGTACCTCTACCAATAAACAGACGTAGATTACTTTTTGCTACAAGCAATAACTGTCAGTATTTTGTTATTGGTTTATTTCTGTCACTTTCTGGCATCCACGGAAGACGAATGTTAACCTTATAAAATGGTAAGTGATAGTTTTACGACTATTTTGATATATCGCCAAGTGAATAGATAGAAATGACGAAATTTTCTGAGGTTAATAACAAAAATGGATATGATGATCCTGAAATTAAAGATACTACGATCATAACATAACATCACGGTTTTTATGTCCGAAGGAGTATACAAAGCATTACGGCAGTTAATGCCACTGTACAATGTAACACCTACTTTTCACAATTTTATGTTATGAGTCCCATGTAATAGGAGGTGAGCCTATTGTCGTTTACCGGGCACAATTCAAGACTCCGTGGTATTACTGAGTTTTTTTTTAAACCCAGTAATATTTGCCCGACCCGGGAATCGAACCCGAGACCCCTTGGCCGGCAGTCACACTTGCGACCACTCAGCCAATAAGACAGTTACTACAATAATTTTATAAAAGGAAAAATACCGATATTATAAAGATGTCTTCGCGTTTTATCCCTTGGATTAAAACGTGGGTGCACCAGGCTATACTTGACGTAAGCCACTCGTTCTGGAGTCCACCAAGAATCTCCACAATACGTCACAAAGGCTGACCGACCTTCTCCACCTGGTTTCTTGTGATGCCTTGACAGACATGACCCAGATGTGATCAACCAATGAGGACTGATACCAGCAGCGTCACAGTGTACCTGTATACACAAATTTTCTTAATACTTTTCAATAATTTCGTCCATTTCTTAATTACCTTAATTCCTTATTTTGTATAAGTTTCTAGTCAACCTTTGAAGCCAATTTTGAGATTCCAAGAAAGCAAGAAAAGAAGTCTTTAAATCCTTATTATAAAATCATTAATATTCCGTCGTTTAGTTCTTAATAATTGAGAAGTAAAATCGAATCTTTCTTGGGCTGGTATTTTAGTATTATCATTAGTTACTTGTGCGTGACAGGCTGTCGGTAATGTTTTATTAAGTTTACGATTTGCGGCAAATTGATTCCGGTTTGTTACAAACTGAAAGTTTTAAATTGATTTCAATATTTTGAATAATAGAAAATAATAGAATGGTTTCTGAAGTACCGATAATTAGAGCATGGTAACAATAACTAAATAATATACTTGTTATATCGTTGTGTATACGTAGCTTTCGAGACTTGATGTAACTTACCTACCAATTGAAAATCTATTATGATGTTTGTTACTTTACCTGTGAGGGCTCATACACATAAGCAGCAACAAATGGGTACTGAGTCCACTCCACATGTTTGCTCCTTTTGTACTCGAGTGAATCAGAAACTTTTGATTGAGATAGTAACATTTGTTTCATGTCTTGTTTTGTTACCGACGATATATTATTAGTGTTTGTATTTGAATCATTCAAGATTTCAGGTTTCATTGTTTTGTTCTGAACTGGAATTGAATTGATATCACTTTGGAGGTTGACATCGTTTTTGAAAGTTTCAACTATATGTTTTTTAGAATGTTTTGACTTATGAGGCTGACTATTTTCTTTAGAAATATCTTGATCAACGTGTTCCAAAAGTGTTTTTCGTTCATTAATGTTACCCTTCTTCAACATATCAATATTGTCAACGTCCATTAATCTTCTGTTTTCATCATAATACGGGAAGGATGTATGTCTGTCATACATTTCGAAAAATTTAATTTTGTCGTACGCTGTTGTCACCTCCACCGCAGTTGTATTTAGTAATGTTTTATTATGTGAAGACGTTAAATTTTCGCTTTCTGTCATATAGTCTTCTGTGGTTAAAGGACATGTCTCGTTATCAAAGCCATTTGTAATTGTACCATTGTTTATTGTTACTAAGGGGTTTGCAATAGTTGTAGTTGAGGTATTTACTGTAACATTCATTTTAATTTCTCTTGAAGATTTCGGTGCTATCAAGTTATCAGACTTAACATGTGGACGTTGCAGACGAGAAAATTTATATGAAGGTGTTAAGGAATTAAGACTCTCAAACCCAGTTAAAGCAGAATCATGGGTTCTAGTTTTACGTCTTCTCATTTTATTTGTCGGTTGTGAAAATCTGGTGGCCGTGTGTGTCTTCGTCTGTTTGTAGGCGTTATCGTCAATGCGAAAGGAAAATAAATGGGAATTTGCAAGAACAAATTCACGGTTTTCATTTCTAAGTTGCTGTTCTCTGCTACGATTTGGAACCTGAACTAATTTTTTAGATGGAAAATCTTTCAAACGATCATCTGATTCATCCAAATAATAGAATTCAATAAAACTTGGAGTTGTAGATGAGACGCTTGGCCGAGGCGGAACTCTTACGAGAGGTGAACGATAAACAGGAACACTGTCTAAGATTCTTTCACTCCCATTACTACGTCTATGAAGATGGGTAGAAGTGGTCGATTCCACATCAACAAATATCTTTGTTTTTCTCCACAGCATGTTTATAATTTCATATTGTTTTCGACTTACTCGTCCAACTTGCCACTTTTTGTACTGAGAAATAGGCTTATCATGAGCATTGTTGTTTTTATTTTGGCTATAGTTTCGACTCGTTCCTACAGGAGTGTTGCGTGACGTTCTAAACGCATTCATCATAGTATTTTCACGTGGAGTAGTATCGTTTGAGTGTCTATCAGAAACATGCTTTTTATTTCTATAAGATGATGCTAACTGATACGTAGTTGGATCTTGTTTGATTTTAAGGAAATTTTTATTTTCGTACGAAAGAATGCTCACGACAGGTTCCACTGCAATTTGTACAAAAATGTAACAAAGTATCAAAAATATGTCCTGAAGTTTTGCTGCTTTCATGATTTTTAATTCAACTCATACTATTTTTGGGAAACACTTATTGCACTATAATTTCTAAACAAAGCGTGAAAATATTTTTGACATAGAGACCATGAACTTTTTGTGACAATTAATACGTTGCAATGTCAAAAAGTTTGCATACGTGATATTCCAATTAGCTTCATACTGGCTGGAAGTGTTTGAATTCCAATAAAGTTTATAAATTATCTGGCATTAAAAATAAGGTTTGTATATTTGTTACTTTAATGTCATTTTGAAAGTTATGTAATATTTATTTTGTTCAAAATTAGTTTGTGAAAGTAATTACTTAATCGTTTGTTTGCTGGTAAGCCATAATATTTTTGCTTGGTATAGACATACCATAAGTAGACACTTATCTAGATTGTAAGTCTTGCATTAGTTTCTTGTGCTGTGGCAGTTTCTAGATTCGTTAACATACACACACATTTTCCTAGAAGAGCAGAGCCTGTTTTGCATATTGCTCTAAGATTTCATCAGTAGATTATAGTAAATCAGTGAATCTTTTAGTAAACTTAAGTTCTCTATAACAATCAACTTAATATATAGGTCTCGAATTACTTCCAGGGTTTTCAAAATTATGAGTGAACTTCATTCAGTTCTCAGTTCTCCAAGGTAAATTTTGAGGATTGTCTGCAATTTATAAGGTCAGTTGTTATTCCTACCTTTATACGTAGCTCCGGTTGCTAAAAAAACCTACCATTTTCTACTTCCCCAAAAATATGGTTAAACTTTTCTCTTAACAATAGGGTAGACGACTAATTTTTATTTTAATGTCCGTCTGGTAGATTATTTTAAAACATTAGACACGTATTTTTTCTTTTCTCACAGAAACGAATAGTTTCGAAGATATATTGATTTGAAATGTCGCGTGACGTCACTTCTCAGTACATTTTATACTAAGAAATGACGTTTTAGCCCCCACTCCTAAACTTTGTTTCGTTTTATCTAAGTATTGTTTTATTATACGACAAAATAAAAAAATACGTGTCTAATATTTTTTCATTACCTAACTTACGGACTAATTATATTTTTAATTTTCATACCCTGTCATCATCCCCATTGAAAATGCTACTTATTGCATTAACAAAATCCGTAATACGACTTAAAAGGGAGAGATCTCTGATGTAACATTTCTCTCTGGGAAGGAAGTTGACTATCTACTTTCTTCTAAGTATTGTCATAAGTTTTTGCTACCATAAGGATTAATTCACTGTCTCGACTTACATGATTCTTTATTACTTTCTTGTCCCTACCATTTTCTTGCCATGCGATATTCACCTCTGTTTACATATAACTTTTTAATGTTTCTTGGTATATGTCGTATATAGATTAGGTATATATTGAATTGATAGATATTTTCTTTTTTTACTTTTAGATATAACAATGAATACTACACCGATTTTGCTAAATAAGGCCGCTATGCGGAAGTATGAGGATCTTGAGATCCCATGTGAGGCTGTCCTAGCTAGTTACGTGTGGATCGATGGAACTGGCATCAACCTCCGCGCAAAAGACAGGACGTTTGATTTTGTACCGAAAATTGTTAAAGGTAATTTTTTATATCTCATCATTATTACAATTAAATTTTTAACCTAAGGTCACCCACTGCTTTATAAATACCTCAAACGTCTTTTTTTGTAATTTTTATGCTAATTTTATTTGATATTAAAACTTCGATTCCCGCATGGAACAACTCTTTGGGTAATCCACAGATTGTTGTTCCGGGTCTGGGTGTAATATGTATATGAACTTGTATGTTTGTTAACGCGCCCACAACACAAGAGAAAATCCTAGTGAGCGGCAACGTTTGTTTAAATAGAAAAGGTATTGGATAGTCTTTCAACTGCCAGGTATGCCCATTTACGTGCTTATCACAATTTCAATAGCATCTGAAAAGTGACGTAGGTAATATAAACAATAAACATAATTATGAATCAGATAGAAATCACAACCAAAATTGTAGATTTAAACCCGTCGCGTCGTTTTAGGGCTAAAATGCTTTTATTACAATTTTTTCTGCCAGTAAAATTACCATATTTACAATAATTTGAAAAAATGTAGAATATGTGGCCAAATGAGATTAATATACATAAAACTTGATATTTTATAGCCAGTAGACGTCCACTTGGATAGTTATTTTCCACCTCTAATAGACTGGATATCAAAAATATAGACAATATAAAAACGAATTTTATGCCAATACCCCGAGGGTTCCATATCACTGGGATGATATTAGGATTTTTTTTTGTAACCTATATATGTATATGTAATATTACCGTTTTTAATGTATTGACTACCTAATAAAGTTAATTGCTTACTCGAGATTTATCGATGATCATTACCTTTGTATGCAACTTCGTTCGTGGTTGGTAATAGTTTTTCCCGCCGATTCCCGTGGGACTACGCCATATTGTTTGACCTACATTTCTTTATACGTTAATGGATCTGATCATGGTACTATACTCATTTAGAACCAAATTTTTCGGCTTATATAATTAAATTTTATCTAGTATGTTTCAAAATCAGTATGCTTATATTTGCATTAGTTCACCTTTCAGCGTATTCTATTATCGTAGTATTTTATTATTGTTTTCTAAATTAAATTTGTGACATACAAAGGTTTGTATAGGTATATTATGATAAAGTCTTTCAACGATACCGTCGCATCGCGGTCTATATTAAATAAATATTATTCTTTGATGTACTCACAATGAACCATTTAGTGAAGTACTCAGTGTTTTCTTTGTATTCACAAGTGAATCTCTAATCTTCACAACTTTAGCATTCATCGACATTCCTTTTTATATTTAAACAGACCGCCATTTTGAAAAGAACAAATCTCGCGAGTGGATCCCTCTTTCGATCGTCCAGTTTTATGAATATCGTTGGTGTTCACATAAAATCTGCTTTTACAACATGCGATGGATAGATTGATTGCCTGTTTTACAATATGAATTCTCTTATTTTATGACCATTTTGTTGATATAAAGAAAATATTATGTTTATTATTTCATTCTTTTATAGGATACCTAATTTGAATTTAAGTTCACTAACAAAAGCAACATTGAAAAAGATATGGTATAGGTATTAATTGGGTATTTGCCAACTAGTCAAATCCAATTATTTTCTGAACTGTCAAAAAGTGAAGTTTAAAGAAATAAAGAAATTCAATGATAAATAGTTGTTATATTCTTAAAAAAATATTTGATACGTAAAGGTACAGCACACTTCATGAATTTTGTTTTTCACTTCATGAAACACCGAATTTTGATGGCGGAAGAGACACTTGACATTTGTAAATTTTTATATCTCTCATCACGTGGCGCGGTGTGATAAAAGTAAAATGTTTGTACGAAGCTGAAACAATATTTTGTTCATAGTTGACATGCTTTTACGTAACAAGTTTTGGACATATTATTATGTACTAGCTTTTACCCGCGGCTTCGCTCGCGTCACAAAAGGATAAAAAGTAGCCTATATGCATATACCAATACACACAGCGCCATCTATACCAATAATTTCGTTTTCCCTCGAGAATATCAAATTTTTCCGTGATAAAAAGTACCCTATTATTTAATCCAGACTTCTAACTTTACGTCTGCAAAAATTCAAAGCAATCGGTTTAGTAGTTACGGCGTGAAACCGGAACAAACAAACAAACATACTCACATTCCAATTTATAATATTATAGTAAGGATTACAAAGATAAAAACGCGTGTTATTTAATATTTCGCATAAACAAATAATATTGGTAAACAAAGTTTTATTACTAGCATAAATATTGTGTAAAAGAAATTCCTTTGAAAAAGGTTTTCCTCTTCCCCTGGGAGTACTTGCAAGATGTTTAATTGTCAGATACGTAATGGGTTATATTCCCAGGTCGGTCACAAAGTACTAATTTTAGGATTTACTTTGCGGTTTAATTCACAGTTGACGTAGATACATACATAGGATAAACGACATGAGATTAAAAGCAAGGATAGAATAAATAACATTAAAGTATCTATTCTACACTTTTTTTATTCACACATCATCTATCTAAATAAATAAAAATTAATGTTCCTTCGTTAGTCTCGCTAAAACTCGAGAACGGCGGAGCCGATTTGGCTAATTTTGGTCTTGAAATGTTCGTGAAAATCCAATATAAGGCGAGGTAAACAATTTGGCAGTACAAAGTTTACCGGGTCAGTTAGTGTCGTTTTGATTTGGGTTAGATAGAAATACAAAAAAGTCAAAGGTACTTTTTACATATTATCTACAAAGATTTGATAACAATGGCTGCACGGTTGGCGCGGTTGGCTGGGTAACGGGTTGCCGCGCGACGTGTAGTAGGTTCGGTTGCAACTCTTTGTGTGATCCACAAGATGTTGTTTCGGGTCTGGGCGTAATGTGTATGTGAAATTATATGTTTGTAACGCACCTATGATACTGGAGAAAATTTTAGAGTGGGGCAATGTTTCTAAAACGATGGAAGAAAATGAATTTGATTCGCGTAATAACCGTTTCCAATGTTAATTGTCTAATCGTAGCAATTCTGATCGGAATGCCATCAATACATTAACGTTGGAACAGAAGTCATTAATCTATTTGGATCACAGATCTTATTGATGTGTTCAAAGTTTCGGAATGTGTAAATCTTGTTAATCACACGGTTTCATTCTATTGTTTCTGTTACAGATTTGCCGATCTGGTACTTTGATGGTGGTAACACAGATCAAGCTAAAGATGAGAATTCGGACACGTACATATTTCCTCAAGTTATTTATCATGATCCTTTTAGACGAGGAAGTAATATATTGGTGCTGACGGACACCTATTCGTTCAATTATCAACCGACAGGTGTGTTTCTATAATTTATTTGTTACATAGATATATTGGACAAACATAATACGAATGCATGGTTGCCGTAGTAAGGGTTAGCGTGGGTCCGATCCCGCGCGGAACACTATTAGTGTTGTCGTAAATTTGTGGTTCCGGGTGTGACCACATCAATGTGTGACGAATGAAAATCGAATTGGAAATCTAACTGAAAGGAATTGTTTAGTTTTACAGAAAAAACAATGAAAATTAAGATATTATTGACGATTTTAGTTATATGAAAACATAAATTTGCACTTTTCCACTCACTGTTACTGAGATCATAAGTATTTTGTTAATCCTTGGCTAATAATTTTCCCGGTTCGGGAATTAAACTCATCACTTCTTTCTCGTCAGTTGCAAGCTGGCGACGTCAACTGAATCTCGGTCCACCAATTTGCAGCTATTCTGTTCATGATATCAAATGAATCTCGTTTTCGCGAAAATCTAGTCGTTTTCTTGATAAGGTTGATACTAAATTTCCTGAACCAGGATTGACTCAGTAGTTTATGTGTAGCGTTTGCGATTTGTCTTCTGTAAGCTACTATGTGTCTCTATAGGTTGGTTCAATGATTAGAAGAGAAATATAATGCCAGGAAAACATTAAAGGGTTGAATGTTCAATTTCAAAGTTATTAACCTAAATTAGAAATATTGATCAATGGGAAGGGAAAAGAAAAGATCATTCACCGATTTCATACTTGATTATAGAAAATCTGGTAAATTATATTCTTCGTTGGAATATATTTATTTCTTTTGTTCGTAAATTACTTTGCTTTAACGCAAACTGTAATAACAAAGGTCGTATACTCCGAGAGAGTTGTGGACAACACAAAGAAAATCTACAAAAAATGTATGCAAAACATTCAAACTAATTTATTTTTGATTATACCTATCTCATTCTAGTTCAGAAAATGTTTCTTTGTTCAGTAAATTACCTGTACAGTAGTAGATTTAAACAACCTTTAAATGTTTTCTTTGATATTGCTACGAAGCGTAAAGTCAAAACAAGTTTATTTTTATAAAACATATCATTTATATATTAAATTAAAAGAAATACATGAAACTGCAAACGCTAAGTGAAACGAAAGAAACGTATTTATTTTCTAAGAAATTATTAATTTAACACAAGTAGCTGAGTATCGTTTTATAGTAAGTAAAGTTAGCCATTAAACGCACTGCGAGAACATTTTCTCGGTATTCAGTATTAAAATGTGGTTGTTTTATTATTTCTGTGTCGTGGTCGCCGACATAGTATAAAGAACATGTTCTTTATACTATGTCGCCGGCGCTTCTTATGCATGAGGGTTTAAATGTTGGTAAGTATCAATGTGATTTATCCGAGTAATATGTACTTTTAAGAGTTTCTGAGTTTGTTTCGGTGTTTCTTCTCAGCAGCTGTAGCCAAATGCCCTTTAGCGCTTATCGACATGTAGAATAGAAAACCAAATTATATGAAATTGACGTAAATTTTGACATCTGTCAATGTCATACTCATACATTTACTTTTCTACTCTCTCTGTAGACAAGCGCTAAAGTGGCGTTTGGCTAAAAGCACTGATTAGTCAGTTAGGAAATGCCCTTATCTAGTAATTTAAAGATTGACTTGTAAAAGTGGTACTCTGTAACCTATTTGCAAAAATAAATTCATATCATTTCATTTCATAACATTTAGACATCAGTGGTATACGGAGAAGGAAAATATTATCGTGAGGAAACCTAGGCTTTATAAGTTTTAAATCGCCAATCCGCCTTGAACAAGCGTGGTAATTGAAGCTCATTCCTTTTCCGTGTGAGAAGAGGCCTTTGGTTAACGGTGATGAGCTGTTGATGTATGTTGATCTTTTAGTGTTACTAAAAGTCTTATTGCAGCTAGGTATTGCAGTAGATATATCATAGAATCCACTTAAATTACCTGTTTGATAACTCGATTTCACTGGAAGCGTCGTGGTTCACGTGATTTTATGTCGGTCGATTGATTTGTCGCTCTGCAACGAGTAACAGGATCTGTACGTATATTACGATTGGCCCCTTTTGAGAATTGCTAGTACCTAAATGTCGATGAAAGTCATACGAATTTTCTATTCAGTATTCAACTGACGTGACATAGTTGTTTTGTCAGTGTTAGAGCGAATAATTAACTAGAGTTCCATTTTGATACTTACATTTGGTTAGCATAATAGTAATTAATTCACCCGAATTCAATAAATCATACGTTTTATGCTCATTTTATACAGTATACAGTTGTCCTGTCAACTCTATTTAAATGAGCATGAATTAAAATAAATGTAACTTGATGTTACTGTAATCACTGTTCAATTTAACGTGAAAATTCTGACAAATGATTTTTATTACACTAACCTAAAAGTTAATAGCTTTTTCGTAATTTATGTCTGTCTATGTAACATGCGCAATATAATGTTAACTACAATGAGTATTATATCTTTTGTATGAGTAGGCAGCACATCTAATACCTACTTTCATGAGCGTTACGAATTAGGTATGCTACAAAACAACCGGAGAGAGTCATACCTACATCGAGAACATTATCATGTAATTTGAGCTATTTATTATTTTGTGAAAAGAATCCACCTTACCTTGTTATTAGGTCTATTAAATTTTTTTATAACATAAGCGCCTATTACATATTACCTACATTTGTACAAATGTGTTTGTTCAATTTAAATCCTATTTTTATCGACGACTTAAAGAAACAATTACGCGCATCTGTGGAGTTTGATCGTCAACCAAACGAATTAGTCTACAGGGAATCTAAAACACGAAACAGTTCTAACAGTAACGACTTGTCTTCTACGAAACACAAGCTTAATTAATCGTAATGGTTCTCCAAAATTGTCGCCATTATTTGACAAATCTTATTAGGCAAAAACAAAGAATTTATCCGTTCAAATCAAAGCACAAAGCGAAACTCAATTCTGATTCACTGTTATATAATTTAGATTAAATCAGAACATTTGTTTGTTGGCTGCGAAAACTTTTACTCTTATAACCAGTTAATGAGGTTTGTTAATGAATTATTTTGCTTTTCAATCAAAATGTTTTGTAAAGTCGTAGACTTAGCGAGAGCAGGTACTTTAAAAATATTCTCTAAGTAACTTTAATCTTATTATTTTGTACAGTTTAGTAGTAAAAGTTGAAAGAAACTGGGATTTCATCTTGCTAGATAAGTATGTGCTGATACCCGATAAGTTTATAGAAATCGTAGTTATTAGTCAGTTGATACAGTGTCGAGCTAATGAAATTTCTCAGTGGCAGTCTGGACTCGTGACCGGAAAGCCAATGCACTGGCGAGCAAAATTTTCTCACATTTATCGCACTTGATTGTCGGTAGCTGCTCCTATTTACTCGAACCTTGTTTTTATGAACTCTGCAATGTACATTTTTACTGGCTTGTTGAGATTTTTTTGTTTACTCAGTTTATTTTGAATGAAAAAGAATACTAATGATACTATAATTTTCGCAATATTTTTGCATCAAATCTATATAAATAGAAATGAATTTCCGTTCGTTAGTCTCGCTAAAACTCGGGAACGACTGAACTGATTTGGCTAATTTTGGGCTTGAAATGTTCGTCCAGGGAAGGTTAAAAAAGATTTTGTGAATAAGGTTTTAGTGCGGTACGAAGTTTGCCGGATCAGCTAAATTAAAATGCATCTACAAAAGATTTTATTATATTAATTAGTTCTACCTACGGCAACTGTAGTACGGTATTTTGGTAGGCATTACTAATAAATTTATTTTAAATTAGACTGAATAGGATCAAAGTACTATGTATCTGGGAGTACGAAGAAAATGCAAGCAATTTCAAGATCTTGAATCTTGTACGAAGCAACCCGTGTATTTCCGAGAGAGATTGTGTAGTAACAACAAACTTTTCTACAGGCACAAACTTCAGGAAAGCTTGCTTGATTTTGTGCGAAAAGGGTGAAGTTGAAGAGCCGTGGTTTGGCTTCAACCAGGAGTTCTTTCTAACGGCGACAGATGGCAGGCCACTGGGCTGGCCCCCTGGTGGCTTCCCCGCCCCTCCTGGACCATACTACTGCGCTATAGGAGCCAACAAAATCGTAGCTAGAGAACTCATGGAGGCTTTTTATAGGTACTCTGTTCATGTTTAGATATTGTTCATTATTTTAGTTAATGCTTAATAATTCGACTTAGCCTGAACCGAGAGAACCAAGAACTCCCTGAACCGTGGTTCTATCCTCACAGTATCACAGTATTTTTTGCTCTGACATAATTTTAAGTTCAGAGGATCAGTTCTTGTAAAGCAGTCACCTTATCGAACCACCTAATTGAAACCATACATTTTCTAATATTTATAACGATACCTACAGAAAATATCTACTGAAATCTTAGTCGTATGGTATACGTCATTGGACGTAGCGACAGTATTCTATGAGAAAAATGAGATTGTGAGTGTGTACCTACTGAGACTTAGGATTTTCCTTAAGAAGATTCCTCAGCTTCTATTTTATGTATTGGCATAGACTCCGCAAAAATATCCATTTATAGGCTAAAGAGATAGTCTAGTACATGAGCTGAATGTGTTTTATTCTAAAGAAACTGGTAACCTTTTTTTGTTTTTCTTTTTAGATGCTGTCTTTATGCGGGTGTACAGATTAACGGTGTATATCCAGGATCAACGCCATCCCAGTGGAATTTCCAGGTAAAACTGCAGCTGTAATGGTAATCTTTCTGTTTTGGTCGCAATAAGAATGTTCAATATATGTAACTGTTTTAAAAAGCTAAATTTTTCTCTATCTGTGAAAACGATTTTACGATATTTAGGTACCAATTTTTCAATCAACGAGTATGGTACCATGACGTCATTCTGATTGGATGACCAGCTGTTTTGATTTAAAATGTTCAGTAAACTTTATCAAAATATTAACTGTACCTATTTATTTATGTTGTTAATAGAGTTTAAAATAAGCTTTCTGCGCATCAAATGAAAACACGTGTTTTTAATTTGTAGCCGTGCTAATTTTAAGGTCTTTGTTTGTTGTCCTTTGCTAGTTATTTTAGGTACCTGAAAGTTAAATAAAAGAAACAAATATGAACTTTGGTAAAGGTCATTCCGTAAAACATTCTAATTTTAGAGTATAACCAAGTTCATTACACGAATGAACTTGTTTGCTTTGTTTAAATAAATAGATTTTTAGAATTGCAAGCAAGTAAACAAAATTCTTTGATACTAAGAAGCTGTTTTCTGGTTATCGGGTTTGTGTGCCCATTTCCTAAATCGTTCTTTGTTTTCTGCATCTGACCTCCCAAGTCGTCGCGGACGTAACTTCTCTTTGCTAAACAAACTCCTAGGACAGCCATAAGTATATCAATATATCAAAACTGGGATTGCGGACGCTCGGTGTTCAAACCTCTTTGTTTCGCTTACGTCACGTGCGCCCAGTTTGTACAAGATATTACGCTATCAAAATAATACAATTGTTGATTGTTTGTGTATTGAATTTACTCAACAATATTACGTTCATTTTAAAAAAGTAGATATATAATATCTACATCTTACTGTTATCACTTAATTCCTTATTGTTATGTTATAATTTACATTGAAATAATTTTCCATTTGCGTTTAATAACACCGCGTTACTGGCATTATTCTGAATCTGAAAGTATTTGAAGGCGAATTAAGGGAACTCGAATATTCAGCGTACATGGAATACGTGACAAAAATTCCAAGTTACAAAGAATCCATTTTTTCTAATATGTTTTATGAAACTTGCTTAGTATGTGTACTTAGTGTATGTATAAATGATGGGTTTGTGGTGTAAAATGCATTGGTTTGTATGAATTATTTATTAAATGGTGATTTATAGGTTGGTCCGAGTCCCGGCATCAAATCAGCCGATGATCTATGGATGGCGAGGTACATATTGGCAAGGTTAGCTGAAGAGTACGGTACCGTGGCCAATTTTGAGCCACAGCCCATCACTGACTGGCCAGGAAATGGGACCTTCGTCTATTTCTCTTCAAAAGACATGAGAGAAGACGACGGCATACTGTGAGTAGCTTAAACTTTTTAATTATTCGAACCGCTTCCAACCGGCCTATGTGGAAGTCATTGGGGTAGGCTCGCGTTGAGCAGTGGACGTTTGTGGTTGATAGAGTATGCGTCCATGATACGGCACGGCCTTTAAAAATTCTACACAATAATTAGTACCTACATATCTGTTTGATCTTACACGTTTTCAGTATCTTATATTCATGGCAATTCGTAAACTGAACGCGAACTAGTGAGTAAACGAGAATGGGCAAACTTTAGTGGGTAGCTAACAGGCTTTTACCCTATTTTTTTTTATTTACCCTACATGATGACCAAGATGTTTAATTGGAATATTTTAATATTTTATTTTAAATAGTTACAGTTCTTTATCTAAGTTTTGATCCGATTTCGCGTTCCGCGCGCGCCTCAAGGAGCCATCAGACCACCACAGATGTGGCCCAAGCCCAACACGGCTGATGCTGATACGGAGCCGCGGAAGACTTAACGGGTTGCCGGGGCTCTGGCTCGAAGTGCAGGAGTAGGAACAGGGTGGTTTTTAGTAGTAAGAGCCTGACACTCCCTCTCGCCTCACTTGGGCGGGAGAAGCTATTAGATGATTTTACCCCACAAAAGAAAGTCTTGCTTCGATTTGGTCCATGTTCATGTAATAACAGTAACTCATACCGCCAGCCTAGGTTAGCTAAGGTTAGGCCTTACGATAGCTTTTTACGACGGATCCATAAACCTAGAGGTCTTGTCATTTAGGTACCGTTTTACTGGCATCACAAATATTCTGTCCTAAGTTTATCGGAACATTCTTCCTGTTGGCTAGACTAGTACGTCGTTAATATCGAATTTAGTACGAAAGTAGATCACTTTTTCAGATGCCTCGCAAATAAAAAATTGGAGAATTAATGCATGTGATATGACCATGAATTGATGGTGTAGACTTCGATATTATGTGTCAACACGATGTTACATAATTTTTTTTATTTACCAACATTTTCTATCAGCACGTTAATTAAAGAATACATATTTATAATAGGAACTTTAAAATAATTTCGCAGGGTTATCGAGCGTGCGATTGACAAGATGGCACGCAGGCATGGAGCTCACATCAACGAATACGATGCTAACAATGGCGGTGATAATGTTCGGCGACTCAATGGGAAGAACGGAATGCCACATGTTAGAGATTTTACCGCAGGTGATGTATAACGATCTTAATTCTTAAAACTGCAAATATAGGTTAAGGTTACTGGTTTTTCTTTAATAGTTAATACGTTAAACGCCATAGGCGGTAACATTTACCGGTGGCTTTTGAGACAGTTTTCTATCGGCAGTCCAAGGGTTGATGAATACGCGAATACATTTTGATGACTGTTTAATCGTGTCGTAGTTATTTTAACGAACGTTATACCTATTACGCTAAGGAAAATTTTAAAATAAAATATTAAATTTTCTTTGTGAAAACACAACTATTAGGAATATTGTAAACATACTTCCAGTTTTGATACCTATCGACATAAAACTACTACGATAATACTAACATAGTACTATACAACGTTTACAAGTTCACCCAACACATTTTATTTATGTATCCACATTTTTTTCGGAGTATTTATTTTTCTGAACAGACTGTAACGAGTTTTCTAGATCATTCTTTTTATTTGGCAATACGTCGTTTTTATGTAAATACCACATCATCCAAAAAGTAATATTATATACACAAGCATAGTTTGTAGGTATACATATGCATGTGCCTAAGAAACAAGCTAGACGTTGAAGTACTTTAATGCATCTTAAATTCCCTTTGTGTATGTGAAGAGGTCTTCTAGTATATTGCCCATGTTGTAAAATTGATGTGAAAATGCCTACTCGTCCGTCTCGTAACATTTTTTACAAATAATGTCTTAAGTCAATGGACTTTAGACATTAAATATTATAAAAATTTAAAGATAAATACATACTGTCCAGAATCTTTGATATCGATATTTCATAAAATAATAAATAAGAATAATAATTTAATAATGAGCCTTCGTTCAACGATGCAGATCTTATATTATAAATTTATTAATATTATAAAAAAATAACAATAAAATTTAAATAACAATAAAATAACAATTATTTTTTCATTATTGTTATTTTTTAAGGTGTAAATATTTTAGTTTTAATTATTTATTTCAATAAGAAGTGTAAGATTAAATTCTAATAAACAAAAAAAAAGATCATATAATTAAAACATTTCACAAATTTAATATTATAAATCTTACAGCTTCTGCCCGCGACTTCGTACGCGCAATCCCGTTTCTCCCATTCTCGTAAGATTTTCAGGACTTTTTTCTGCCATAAGAACCTTCTCCTGACGATAACAAACAAAACAAAAAAAAATCAACCAAATCCGTCTAGCCGTTCTCTAGTTATGGCGTGACAACGGGAAACGGGTTTCATCTATATATATAAAAGAAAGTCGTGTTAGTTACACCACTTATAACTCAAGAACGGCAGAATAGATTTGGCTGAAAATTGGTAGGGAGGTAGCTTAGAGCCAGGAGACCGACATAGGATACTTTTAAACCAATACTTTTTTTTTACTTTTTACCGAAAATCACGAACGGGGACGGGACAAAATGGGATTACGCGTACGAAGTCGCGAACAGAAGCTAGTTTTATTATATATAGATTTGTGAGTTTGTATATTAGTTACTCACACACGTTATTACGTCTAAAGGGATCGAAATGAAATTTAGAATAGGGATAGATTGTGGTATAGAATAACACATAAGCTGCTTTTTATTCCCCGGGAACGCGGGCGAAAGCTAGTAAAAATGAATTAGTTGCCAATTGAAGTCTACACAAACTGTCGATTGATAGTTTGGATGTTGTTACGACATAACTACGTCTATGAACACGCATCCACCAAGTCAAGATGCACCTGCAATATTTCGCACTAGTTACGTGTGCAGAATATTAAATTGGAGACGAGACATACAAATTCAGGAATAGATGAATACAACGTGTTCTGATTCGCTTTTTATTGTATACTGTTAGACCAAAACTCAATCCATATATATAAAAGAGAGTCGTGGTAGTTACAATTTATAACTCAAGAACGGCTACATCTCTTTGGGTGAAAATTGGTGGGGAGGCAACTTAGAACCAGGATACGAACATAGGACACTTTTTATTTTTAACCTTTTTAAACAACGAACGAGAAAAAAAAAACAGGATTCCGCGTATGAAGTCGCGGGCGCTAGTAACAAATAAACAAAGCTTGTAAAAGTACAGGTACTGTATCGCAATTATGTACCTATGTTTGCAACAAAAGCAGATTTAAATGCAAAAAGACATCATTCACATAACCAGTACAAAGCTGAAACAACATGCTTAGCAATGATTGATATTCGTAGAAATCTCTAACGGTCCGTTGCACAACAATCGCCAGTTGCTAAAATGTTGCACGTGTATGCTTTGTATAAATCCCTTTGTATCTCTTTAGATTTATTGTTTCGAACCAAAAAGCTAAATGAACAAGGTTGAAAATGGACTTGCGGTCATATTGTTATTGTGAACTGTGCTTCAATGTGATGTAGTCGTGCAATCGATTATCTAATTACACATTTTTTACATACAACATTTTTATAATAATCGTGTGACATGCTAAATTAACTAAAATCGCGGGTTACTTACGTGAATATACTGAGAAAAGCTCTACTAGTTACCCGCGATTTTAGAAAATATAATTTCTTTAAATATGTCAGGTACAATAAATACTGTTAGAAATATGTACATTTAATATTGACAACACTGATAAATATTTTTGTCTATACCTCTCTATACTTTGCTCTCTTCCTTCTTGGCTTCGCTGGTTAGAATAATGTGTCCTTTATAGTGGAAGTTAAATATAAAATGACAATTAGAAGTAATAAACTTATTCCAGTTTAAAAACACGTACCCCTAGTATCTGTACTACTAATCTAAATATTTTAATTTGATTTCACAGAAACAAAAAATATTTACCATACCATGTATCGCTTAAATGCCATGTACCGGTACAGTATAACAGGTAAAACCACAAAACAGATCAATTTATCTGATAATATTGTATAATTCCATGTTTCCAGTGATTAAAACTTCAGCCGAAATTCGTGTGTTTGTAATAAGTTTTGAAAGCGAAAAGGGGAGTCTAAAATTATACGAAAGTAAGCCCTACTTTATACCGAATCATAAAAGGATTTATGTTTCGTTGCTTCGACTTGAATGTTTTGCTGAACAACCCTTTAATCTCAGAAAACGACGTAGTATAGGTATTTGAAGACTATGTAAGTACTCATATATTACATTCAAAAAACAAAGCAGCATGAGATTAATTTGATGTTCAATCTAAACATTTACGTGTATTTGTAACGATTCAACCTTCTTTAATTCGCAAACAATCGATAAATCTATGTAACTTTTCAATGTTTTTTGCATACTGACTGTTTTAAAAAATAATTAATTGTAGATTTCTATTTTGTGCGAGCTATTTTTTGCTCATACAGTCCCGGTACCCGCAGAAATTGTTTCTTTAGAGATTTTACCTAAAAGCATTGAGATAGCTTTAATTTCCTTTACCTCTACCAGCATTTTGTTCCTGTATACGTCGTTTTGTGGCACAAAAATACTGGCCACCTTTTCTGTCCATATATTCGTTGGTATGGTTTGATTCACCCGAGCTTCACCGATTTTGGCCGCAATATCTGCCCATATGACGGCACGGTTTACCGAAAATATCGACTTTTGGTTTTGTGACAATACTGGTAACTGCTATACGAAATTGTTTTATCAGTGTCTGTTGGAATCAGAAAATAAATCTTTAATAGAACGCTCCTATAGCAACTGCGTCTCATTATCTTATTAAATTCCTGCTGAGCTTCAAAACACTTCAGATCAAAAAGTGAGATCAAAAAGGATAGTGTATCAATTTAATGACAATTTATATAACTATTATCATCTAATGTTACAAAATTATGCTTTCGAAGTTTGTCACAAGCCTCCTACTAAGTCTCTGTTGAACTAACAACAACATTTCTTAAAGATGAAATATATTTTACGCCAACTAACACAGTTTGTGTATCTACAAAAACACGTATAATGTCTACGTACCTAAAAAGAAAGTAATAGAAACCAGTAAACCGAAAGAGAAAACCATTTTCGCGTTATATTTCAGTGCGTAGTATACTGAATTACAGGCTGAAACTCATAAAATGGACGTTAATCGATCTTATTTGTTACGAGGCTCAAGCAATTATCGGAATCATCTAAACAGCGTTTGTTCCCAAACGTAGCTACAGATAACTGAACTCTGGAATTGACCGAGCTTGAGAGAATTCGAGGTTAAATTACTGGCTTACTGATAGTACCTACGTACTGCGTTAAACGGTTTGTTTTGATTATTGATTTCGAAATGTTGATTAAGAATGTTTTGCTGCGTCTACGCTAGGAGTGCCGAGCACAAGCCGAGCACGAGCCGAAAACAATTTATCTAGTGTGGACCGAGTGAGAGAGAGAGAGAGTGAAACGAGCACGCTGCGAGCATTTCGTTCGTGCTCGGCTGCGTTCCATCTGGTATCAGTTTTTTGATGAACACAACGGGACCTGCTTCGCATTCACAGCACTCACTGCGGAAAAATAAGTATAAGGACAGTGATCGTTGTAGGTTCGTTGTATGTCCACACTTGACGCCGCGAACGACGAAGTCGGCTCCGCTTGTGCTACGTTCGTGCTCGGTTCGTCTAGCGTAGACCTGCCTTTATTTTGCTATGCAAAACATTTAGCAAGAAATAATATAATAAAAGTAATAAGATTACTCTCGAGTAATTCTTATTAATTATCCAGGATTATTCTTTAATAATAGGAAGTTAGCTTAAGAATAATAGGAAACAATAGGAAGGATAGAATAATAGGAAGGAAGTTCCGAGAGATCCTATTATAGGTCGATCAAGATCTAAAGCTATATTTATTGTGGTTTTACTTTTCTTTCATTTATTTTATTTGAAACTAGAAACAGCTTTAAACAATAGGCTACTTATTATACTAAACAATAAACATAATGTTAACACTCGAATAATTTAATACATTCACGCCTCAAAACTGTTTATGTCTTATATTGTCACTTCGTTGACTCTCATAAAAGTCTTTATTACTTGAATAATGAAATCGTATACT